CCCATTGAGAGGATCCCCCACCTTGGCTTCAAGCAGAGTATGATCCCCCCAAATTCCCTGGGGACAGGGAGACCTCCCATGTCCCCTTGACCCTCGGCCTCTCCTCTTTATTGGCAGTTAACCTCTGGAAGATCTACAAAGCTGTGGAGAAGCTGGGAGCCTATGAGCTGGTAAGTGGTGTCTGGGGGGGTGCTGGTGTCCAGTGGGTGTCGGTATGTCCCCTGAGTGTGGGAGTGTCCCCTGGGTGCCAGGTTGTCCCCTGGGTGTTCCCTGGGTGCCAGGATGTCTCCTGGGCATTGAGATGTCCCCTGGGTGCTGGGATGTTCTATGCACACCACGATGTCCTGTGCACACTGGGCTGTCCCCTGGATGTCATGGCTGTCCCCTGAGCACCTGGTCTCACCCCTCCCTCCCCGTGCAGGTGACAGGGCGTCGGCTCTGGAAGAATGTATACGATGAGCTCGGGGGGAGCCCCGGCAGCACTAGTGCTGCCACCTGCACCCGGCGCCACTACGAGAGGTGGGCACACAAGGGGACTTGGTGGGGTGCCTGGGTCTCAGCTCTCCTTCCCAGGGCCAGTTCTCACTGTGCACCACCCCCATCCACAGGCTGGTCCTTCCCTACGTGCGGCACCTCAAGGGGGAGGAGGACAAGCCGCTGCCCCCCAGCAAACCCCGCAAGCAATACAAGGGCTCCAAGGATGACAAGAGCAAGAGGGCCAGGAAGGAGAAGGGCAGGGAGCAGGTGTGTGGCTCCTCTGGAAGTTTTGGGAACAGCCTGAGACCCCTGTGTCCATCCGTCACCCACTGGGGTGCGCAGGGAAGAGCAAGGAGGGATGTGGATCACTGGGAAAAGGGAGTGGAGGGTGATTGGAAAAAGGGAGTGGAAAAGAGGGAATGAAGTTGGGGGGATCCAGGAGCCCATCTCGGGATGCAGCACCCACCCCCCAATAACCTCCTCTGCCTGCAGATGCCTCTGGACAAGGTGAAACTGGAGGTGACAGCTGGCACAGAGGACGCCCGGGACATCTCGGAGCAGGGCCGGGTGGCCCAGGGATCCATCCCAGCAATGCCACCCCACTGCTCCAGCTTGGCAATCCTGACCCCCAGCCCCTCGGAGGGGTGTCCCAGCCCCTGCCAGACCCACAGTGAGACCTACAAGTGCCTTTTCTCCAGCTTCTACTCCAAAGGGAACCACCCCATCATGTCCCCGCTAGCCAAGAAGAAGCTACTGGCGCAGGTGAGCGAGACTGAGTCCCTGTGCTGCCACAAACGCCACTGCCCCGAGGGCCAGTGGACACCAAGTGCTGCTACCACCATCCACGACCTGCGCCAGCCGGCCCCCGAGAGGAGCCCAGAGCCCTTGGGAGCTCAGGATACAGTTCTGAGCATTGGGAATGAGGTGGGACCATCCACCAGCATATCCCCCGGGGGCACAGACATCCAGGGGTGCCCCCGGGCCGAGAACAAGGGTTCGGCACCTGCCATGTTCACCGGCTACTTCCATGCCTACCGCAGTGAGGGGCTCCCGCCCAGCACCCCCCATCCACTCTGGGGTTACTTGTCCAACCTGAAGGATTTTTTGGAGCCTCCTCCCTCCTTCCTGGAGCCGGAGCAGCCCCAAGACCTGCGGAGCAAAGTGTGGGAGAGCTGGGGGGCCACCGTGCAGGCCTGGGTGCCCCCCAGGGCTGGACCCACTGCCAGGGCTGGGCACGACCATGAGGAGGAGGAGGAGGAGGATGATGAGGAGCCCTTTGGCCCCGAATTTGGCACTGTGTCCCCCTTCTCCACAGAGGTCGAGGGAAGGAACGTGGGCTCCAGCCCTCTGGGGAGCCACCGCGGACTGGCCAAGCCCAAGGCCGTGGTGGCCAGCCCCAGCTTTGCTGTACTGCACTTCCCACCAAGCTTCAGGAGTCCCCTGGAGCACCTCAAAACTCAGGGCGTGCCTGTGGCCCCTGCGCTCTCCACCAACCCCTCTGTCATCCCAGCCTTTCCCAGCCCCTTGGTGGTGGGCTCCACACAGCCCCCAGAGCTGTGCCGGCCACTGGGCACTGGCCCTGGGCACTACCCCAATTCCTACGGGAATTCCCTGCGCCACCGGCCCTACCCATGGCACAGCCAACATTCCTATGGCTCTCAGCACATGCCAGCCTTCCACCGCCACACCAAGCTGTAGGAATTCCATCCCAGCCAGCAGCATTCCCCGTGGAGGAGGGAGAGGCTAGGATGCTGCACCGGGAAGTGCTGGGGCCGTCACTGTTGCAGGGCTGAGGGGACAATCAGGACCGAGTCATTTTTACTCTTGATCTTGAGCTGTTTGTATCCAACCTTGTTACAGTGGTGATTTAATTACATATCACATGATTCTATATATATTTTATATACACACACACCTATAAAAGAGGGAGCAAAATGAATGCTGGAGGTTTGTGTTTTGCCGGGGCTGAGCCGGTTGATGGTCATTCTCACCCCTCCTTGCCTGGATTTTTGGAGACTCTCCAGGACCCCCAGCCCATGTAATCTGGGGAGTTTAATCACTGCCTCCATCCAGGGCTTCAGAGGGTTTTCATGGTTTGGGTGTCTGCCTGGAAAATGCTCCAGACCTGGCCAAGCTGGGCCTGGAATAAACCTGCCTTGATGGTCTGAACCCTGGTGGTGTTTGTGCTGTCCTGAATTTCTGGGAGTGAGGCAAGGTTTGGGGGGATCCTCACCCTAAACATGGAGCCCTCGGGCTGAGACCTTCCTCCAGAAGGAGATGCTTCTCCACAGCAGTTTTGGGGGAATCAGAGCCATTCTGTGGAGCAGCCGCCTGTCCAAGTGAGAACCATCCAAGCGTCTTCCAGCTTTCTCTCCAGGTGCTTTTTCCCTCCAGGTGCTTTTTGCTTCCAGGAGCCCCAGCTGAGCTGCTGCAAATGATCCAAAGGCTTTGTCAGAGCTACAGCACTCACATCAGCTGCTCCCCATCTGCAGGGACAGCGGGAAGGGCAGAGGGATGGTGGCACTTCCTTGGCCGTGGAGATTGGTGCAGGAGCAAAAAATCAGCTTGGAAGGACCACACTGCTGCATCCATGGAAAGGCCAAGTTTTGGGATAGGAATTGTTCCCAGGCAGCACTGATCACTCCATGATGTTGGAGGCTCTTTAGGAAGAGCACCATGGACTCAAGCAGTCCTGGACCCTCCATAGGAAATTTTACACACCCCAGTTTGGAAGCAAGGATGTGGCCACAGGGCTCGAGTTGTCTCACCAAGAGCTGTCACACCTGGGAGTGAGGTCACCAGAGATGCCACATCCCTAAGGATGTCTCAGCCTTAGAAACTCTGGCTTCAGGCCTGGAAAAAAAGAGTTGAGGTGCTTGAAACCACAGCAGTGACAGCAAAACCCCGTGTTTGTAGGAGAAGATCTAAACTCATCCCAGATGTTTTCACCATCAGCCTGGAGAGGAGGTTTCATGTTTGGTAGAATCCATCAGCAGACTCGGGCTTAAGCTCATCCCACACCCACAACTTTTCCTGTGGGAAATTTTTACCTGGGGTGAACCTGGATTTTTGGCTAAGTAAAATCTTACCCTTTTTTTCCATAAAAGCCCAGGGAAAAGGGAAGGGGATGCCAAGTCCAGCAAGGTTTGCGATGGTGGCAAAGCTCAGCATCCTCAAAAATGCTGCTGCTTGTCATTTGGTGTGTGAGAGGCTGCACAAGTCCTTGGGAAGGATGAGGAAGTGAGTGGAGATTTCAGCACATTCCTGTCCTTGGATGGGCTGTCCTGGCTCCACGGGCCTCCATCTGATGGGAACTGTGCTCCCCAAAGGCATCTCAGCCTGCAAATGCTGCTTCATGGGAAGCAAAAGTCAAGGGCTCGGAGTGTAGCAGAGCCATGGCCTAGAATGGTGACACAGGGAGCGTTGAGATTATCCCAGAGATCCACAAAGTCCCATCATAGCTGGTGGTTCAAGCTCAAGGGGCCCGATGGAAACACAGCTGTAAAGGCTGTCAAGGCTCAGAGCAGATCAAAGCTGAGCCTTTTTCAGGAAGTATAAATATTATCAAAAGCAGGACAAATCAGTTGAGTCTTCTATCCAGAGGTGGGAAACCACGTGGAGGAGACTGAGGGCAGAGCTCATTGGGGGCAGCTCTGACTCTGCTCCCTGTGACAGGACCCTGGAACGGCTAGAGTTGTGTCAGGGCAGGGTTAGGTTGGATATCAGGAAAAAGTTCTTCCCCCAGAGGGTGGTTGGGCACTGAACAGGCTCCCCAGGGCAGTGGTCACAGCCCCAAGGCTGCCAGAGCTCAAGGAGTGTTTGGACAACACTCTCAGGGAGAGGGTGGGATTGCTGGGGTGTCTGTGCAGGGCCAGGGGGTGGATGGATGATCCTTCCTGCTCACGATTCCCTGATTCTATGAGGAAGGTACAGGCAGGAGCTGCCCCCACTGCTCCTAGGACCCACAGTGTGGATCCTTCCCTGGATCCATCCCTATTTTGTCCCTCCATTTCTCTACAACTCCAGAAATCCACCCTCACCACAAGCTCCGGAGGGGCTGTGGCCACAAACTCAGCACAGAATAATAAAAAAGGAAATTTTTATTAAACAACAAACCCAGAAAAACATCACCCCTGTGCCCAGGGGGCTGCTGCTTTCCCACCCCTCAGCCTTCCTGTGGGTCCCTATGGCTGGTGGGTGATGCTGGAGGAGCTGCCCAACCTGAGGATGGACACTAAGTGTCTGTTGTCTTGAGCCTCTCTGGGGTGGATGATGGTGCCGCCGTTGTCCACCATGGGGGAAGCCCTCCCCAGGGCCTCCAGGGCCCCCAGGACGTGGTTCTTGGCTAGGATGACCCTCTCCCTGAGGTGTCCCAGGGTCCTGTCACCCTTCCCTGGGGTCAGGAGGAACATCCTGGAGGGACTCTGCAGGGCAGGTCCCACCTTGGGGTGCACCAGGGTGGCAAAGAGGAGGGGGCCAGTGGTAGAGGAGGAGAAGAAGGAGGAAGGCTGGATCCCCAGCAGTGTGACGGGCACGGCAAGAGCCTCACTAATCTCAGGCTTGGTGAGAGCCGAGAGCCTGGCAGCTGACATGATGTAGAGGGTCTCCATGGGGTTGGCGGAGGTCACTGTGGAGAAGGGGAGAAGATCAGCAGTGGGGGGACATGGTGCTCACCCTGGGAGCTGATGGGAATTGTGCCCCACAAAAGCATCTTGGCCATGAAGCAAATGTTGCTTCATGTGAAGCACAAATCAAGGGCTTGAGGTGCAGCAGAGCCAAGCCCAGCATGGAGACACGGAAAGCACTGGGATTATCCCAGTGCTGCACCCTGCAGCTCTTCCCGACTGAACAGAAGGACGTGGCCTGGTCCACTCTCCGGAGTGAGACCCCAAAACAAACCCCAGTGCTGGCACAACCCAGGCAGGGAAACCAAACAGTGAAAACTGGCACAGCTCCACTCCCAGACCATTTAGATTTCCCAAGGAAACCTCCCTGCTCATATCCCCCAAGGATCATTGCCTTTTCCAGAGTGGAATATGATGGCTCTGACCATCTCTCCATCTCTGTCAGGGACATCACCAAGCTCTGGATTTTCCTGTAGCAAAGCAACAGCCAGAAGCTCAAGAATGATTCCCATTTGGTAGAGACCCAACAATGACACCAGTGACACCAGTACAAACTGGAACAGCCATACCATCCTACACATCAGCAGCTCTTCCCTCTTGCTTGTAGAAGATAAACTGACAAGAACCAGCTGGTCCCACAGGACCATGGGCCACCAGAAGTCCAGTACTGGGACAAAAGGGGAGCTGGGTTTTGTATCCCAAGATGGAGAGCTCCCAATATCTGGGATTCCATCACCTGAGGGATTCTTCATGCACCTCTGGGTCCATTTCACATGCCTGACCTGTGCAGTTTGTGCTCTCCTGGGAGCCCTCCCAGCACTGTGCTGACATAATTCACTCGAAAGTGGCTTTTCCAGCAGATATCCACCTTTTTGGATGGATTCCTCTGATCCAATGCTCAAGTCTGAGCATCACCTGATGCCCAGACGGGTCACACCTGGATTTTCCTGCCTTGTACAGGAATTCAGTGGTCCTTCCTTAGCTGTAATTAATATTCCCCCCCCTGGGAGGTGAAAGGGTGAGAACTTGAAGATAAGAAAGATATTGCTACCTGCTTACAAGAGCTGAAATCATCTATCCTCATGCCCTCTGCAGTAGACCCCAAAACTCAGCCCAGATTTGCAGCTCCAGAGTTTGCTACATAAACCTTGGCAGGAAACAGAAGCGTGATCCAGCATCACCTCAGTTCCTGAAGCTGCTCCCAGGATGTCACCACACTGCCAGGGGAAACCCACCTAACCCTCAAAGCCCCACAGAGCAGCTGTGAAAAGAGAAGCTGAAGTTTTAACTTGTATTTTCAGTGTAAAGCCACAAATACACTCTTGTTTCTGCTCTCACAGGAAGCATTTGCACCAAACTCCCCAGGAGATTCCTGAATCTCCCATGTCCTGTGTGATGCCCAGGGGGAAGGAAAGTTACTCCCTCAAAGTGCAGCTCAGATGCTCCAGACACAGTTAAAATCCAAGCCCAGTTTAAATCCAAGTTCGGGCTTCCAGCTTCCTGCAAAGGCCCAGCTGGAATTTCAGAGGGAACAACCAACAACAGCTCTGGCTACTGCTGAAAACACAAGAGTTTAAGCCCTCAGCATTATCCCCCAAAGCCTTTTGTAAATCCAATCTGTTCCAGGAAGCCCTGGATTACGTAACCCTCTGTGCCAGAGGGACAGGGAGCTGATGTCAAGGGCTATAATTAGTTACAAAAACACACAGCTCACCCCATTTCCTGTAAAAGGCAGCTTTCAGTTTGCTTTTGAAGCAAGTCTTGCACCAGCCACACAATTAAGCCCTGCCTTGAACACACAAGCTCAGCATTGTAGGGAACAGCTCAGGATCAAATATCCACTTTCAAGTGGCACCACATAAAAAATTAACCGTTTCCTGAACTACTCACCCTGGAGTCAATCTGTGCCAAGTTCCATCACTTCTCCTAGGTATTTAGGGGATCTCAAAGGTAACATGAAGGGAAGGACATGAAGGGAAGCACAGCAGCTCTGATGTTTACTGAAAAGCACAAAAGCTGTTTCCCACATGGATGACGAGTTTCAGACCTACACAAGTGACTCCCCTGGTGCTCACGGTGGATCTGAAGGAATTCTTCCCTGTGAGGGTGGGGAGAGGGTGGGATGGAATTCTGAGAGAAGCTGTGGCTGCCCCTGGATCCCTGAAAGTGTCCAAGACCAGGCTGGATGGGGCTTGGAGCAACCTGGTCTAGTGGAAGGTGGAACAGGATGAGCTTTAAGGTCCCTTGCAACCCAAACCAGTCCATGATTCTGTGATATCAAGCACAATCAACCCTGACACAGACACAACGATGACTCGAATCTTCTCAACCACCTCAGCAAACACCAACTCATCACACCCAAGAGATGTGACCAAGAACACTTTCCCCACCACAGCCACACCTGCCCTTGGACTGTGACAGTCAAACAGCTCAGGTGAGCACCGATGGACACATTCTGTGGGGAAAGATGTCCCAGATTACCTGAGGGCCCTGTGTCTGCATGGGCTGCTCCTCCAGCTGGGGCTGGATCGTCCCCATGGCCGCCTGGCTCAGGGTGCTCACGCGGCCGGGCTGCCCTCGCAGGGTCACAGTGATGGTTGTGGGTGCCTTCAGGCCTGGAAAACACACATGGGAGATGTCCCTGAGACACAGGGACTGTGGAAGCCACAATCAGCAGTGTGGGGGGCACCAGAAGCTTCTTCATCAGAGGCGGCTGCTTGGAAATTGCCAGCGCATGTGGTTGTCCATAAGGAAAAAGTTTTAGGAACGCTGGTCTCAGGGTGCTCCAGGCACCTCCCTGCCTCCTTATCCCTCACTCTCAGGGTGTTGGGCCATTCCTGCCCAGCCCTCCTTCCTCACTCTCGGGGGTGTTCCAGGTGCCTCCCTGCCCCCATGTCCCTCACCTGCTGCCTGGTTGGAGATCTGGGCCAGCCCTGGCAGGCTGCTGGCCAGCTTGGCCAGCCCCCCATTGGTCAGCAGCTGGTGGATGGCCGTGGGCTTCCCGCTGGCTGAGGCCCCCAGGGCCAGGGAGGTGGGCACAGGGATGGTGCGGACAATGGTGCCCGTGTCTGTGGTGATGGCACTGAGGCTCTGCAGGGCTGTGGGAGCCTTCACAGCTGAGCTCTGCAAGGACAAGAAGCAGTACTGAGCACCTGGAAGGAAAGGGGATGAGGGGGCAGCACAGCCTCTCCCTCCCACAAAAGCCAGAGGTGTTAGAGGTCATGGTTTTCCCACTTCTTTCTTGGTCATACACAGGTCTAAATGCCAGTAAACTTGTCCTTTCCAGTTCGCACATATCATTTCAGCTTGATACTATGACTGGGAGAAACTGAGCCCACCCCAAATGAAGCCACGCGTGAAATCAGCTCACACTGAAGGGATGACGTCACAGGTGTGTGTTTTCCCAGAATATCCAGGAGAATGATCCCTGACTCCTCTAAATCCATTCTCCAACTTAGCATTTTCTAGAAGGCTGCCTAGAAACAGCTTCCCACAGATCCCTTCCCTAGACCTATCCCCTCCTCATCTCTCCTGGTCCAGGAGCAAACAGGGCCTTATCCAAGTTCCCTTTAACTCCAGCCTGCACACGGCTTCCCTGTGGGATCCCCAATGGATACCTGCACAGATGGCCCAGGAGTAGCCATGCTGGCAGGGAGGGTGGATGCCTTGGTCCCGATGTCCTGCAGGCTGAAGCTCAGCCCTTGGAGCAGGCTGCTGGCAGATGCTGCTCCTAAAAGAAAAAAATAAAAAAAAAAAAAAATCCAGGAAAAGAATCAAGGCTTGGAGAATTCACCAGCATGAAATTGCAGGCATGTCCCATGGCTGGAAACCTGTTCTTTAATGAGGAGCAACCCGAGGTTGGCGGGAATCCTCCAAGCTGCTCTACACTCACAGTGCCACATGTTTCATAGAATCATGGAATATTCTGAGTTGGATGATCCACAAGGATCATTGATCCAACTCCTGGCCTTGCACAGACACCTCAACAATCCCACCCTGTCCCTGAGAGCGTTGTCCAAACACTCCTCGAGCTCTGCCAGCCTTGGGGCCATGACCAAACTCTGAGGAGCCTGTTCAGTGCCCAACCACTCTCTGGGGAAAGAACCTTTTCCCAGTATCCCACCTAAATTCCCCTGGCACAGCTTCATTCCACTGCTGCATCTACAAATGGGGTCACCTGTGAAACCCAAGATGCAAGAAGAGGTCGGGTTTGGTGTTTCAAGGCATCATTACATACAAGTGACACAATTATCAGATCAGCTGCTGCATCCCACTGCATCTTCCACAGCAAATCCCTACAGATCCTGTCTCACCCAGACCCAAAGCAACCAGGGAATGCAAGAGGCTCCACTGAGTGATTTTGAACCTGGTTTACCTTTTACCTTCCCAGGACAGACATGGGGAGGTGGGTACCTTGGAGGGCACTGGCTGGCTGGGCCTGCAGGCCGTGGGTGCTGCTGGCCACCAGCCTGCTCTGCAGGGCATGGAATGCACTGGGAGCTGTGCTACTGGGAATTCCAGCTGGAGTGGGGCTTAGCGAGGCCTCTGCTGCTGAACTCAGCCTAAAAGAGAAGAAAGAGGCTCTAGTCAGTGACAAACTGTACAGGCACACAGATGGTACCAACCCAAACAATCAGAAGGACTCCTGAAAGAAGGGAACTGAGCTACAAGAACCCAAAGCAAGAGAATCATGGAATTGTTAAGGTCGTAAAAGGCCTTTAAGATCATCAAGTCCACGGGAAGTTTCCTTGTTCCCCTGCAGGAGCACCTATGGCAAAATCCCTGGATTTCCAAACTGGAAGGGCTTGTTACAAGTGTGCATGCACCTCTCTGGGTCACCCTAGGCAAAAGTCATTGACCCCAAAGTGACACTTTTCCTGTTTAAAACCTACTTTCTATTTAAAACAACTCTTCTCCTCTCCCAGATCACAGAAGGGACCTCAAATCCAGTTCCACCCAGGGACATCTTCCACCAGACCAGGTTGCTCCAAGCCCTGTCCAACCTGGCCTTCGACACTTCTGGGGACGGGGAATCCACAATCTCTCTGGGCAACAAGATCAGTCAGAGTTTGGTTGCCCATAGCTTGGGTTAGAATTAGAAGGGAAAACAGGCATCAACATGAGATTCATCTCCCAACAGAAATCCCTATGGGCAGTTAATGACCCTCATGAGTCACCTTGAGGTTTTTCCTTGTATTTGGGAAATTGAAAGTTTGACTGTCAAAGGGAACGAAGGGAAGGATTAAACACTGAATTTCTGCCAAAGCCACCCCAGTCATTCAAAAACCAGATAACCTGAATTTGGAGAGCTACATAAAACATAACCCACAGGCACAATATCTTCTACTTCTGCCCATTTCTGCCATTCCCAGGCTTGACTCCCAGGTGACAAAGAGTTTTCAGGAGCCCAAGAGTCTCCTCCCACACGGCAGAACATTCCAGTGAGAAGCAAGAAACCAGAAAGCTCCATATGCAGGAGTGCCCTTGTTGTGGTGTTTCCTCTCAAAGAGACCCACAGCTCAAAAATCCCGAATTCCCACTCACTTGGGGGTGGAGAGCAGCCCCGAGAGCTCCTTCACTCCAGATACGGCCACGGGCACCGCCTTTCCAGAGATAACTGCAAGAGAAAAAGAACAATCCTCATTTTCCCTCCTCCACGGGGCTTTAGGGAATTTAGGGATCTCCCTCTCATACAAGTACCCACGGGCACGGCCATGGGCTCATCCTGCTCCCAGAACATCTTCTCCAGGAAAAACACACATTCCAAGGAACAAAGTCCAATCAAAACGGCTGTGGAACAACAGCCAAGACTGAAGGAATCAGCTTCCAGAATTTCAGGAATCTTAGCCCCTCGACACCAAATCCAAATCTCTCTCTCCTAAACATTGTCTCCACTAATTCCCTCCTAAGTCCATCATGGCACAATTGAACCACCTCAACGGATTTTTGGGATCTGGCTGATGGATTTTGTAAGGATTCTTTAGTTAAAGACACTTTACAAAATACACAGGGATGCGACGAGTCACGAGATTTGTTTATTGCAGCGTTTTTTGGGATACAACTGTGTTTGTCTTGTGCTTTCCTCCTGCTCACACCGGGTAAGAGGGAATTCTTGTTTTGGTTCATGTTTTACTTCTGTAATTCATTTCCTTTCTGTGAAAAGAAGTAAAGTTTGGAAAATTAAAAAAAAAATAAAATAAAATAAGACTCCAGAAAGCAGAGATTTTCAAAGCTGCCCGAAGATCAACTGTAACCTTCCAAAAGGATGTGGGTTTGGATACTTTCACAGTTCAAAACAACTGTTAAATTAGCAAAGAGGTGTTTGGAAAGGAGCAGAATTATTTCTCAGCTTGGAAAAGCTCTGATTTCTGAGCAGAACGGAGCCACTTTCAGTCCATAACCTTACAGATCTGGAGCTCTGGCAGGAGGAAAACATACACTCCAGACAAGACAACATCCTTCAGGGTCACAGGGAACAGCAGCCAAAGCTGTCGGCCTCTCTTCCAAAGGCTCAAGGGGAAGAAGATAGAGCACATCACCTCTCCTTGGACACAAGACATATTGTGGTGGGTTTTCCCAGATGCAGAGGAAGGAAAGCTGAAATTTTTATATGTGCATCAAATGTGTGCTGTATCAGACTCCAGGCCCCAGAGGGCTGAAGTGTTTGAACACATAAAGATCTTCCCAAGGGAGGAACGTGGTTGCCATCCCTGAAGAAGGAGCATATTCCAGGTGGGAGGAGTGGAACCAGAGACGCACCTGACCTACGTGGAGCAAGGGGTCCAGCAGGACCAGCATCCTGCTTCCAGCAGCAGCTCCACACTCAGAGGAAGGAGGGAGTAAGACCAGAGGAAAGTGCAAAACCAGAGGAAGGTGTAAGACCACAGGAAGGTGTAAAATTCACCTCCCAGCTCCAGGTTGCAGCCAAGCATTCTGCTGGAGTGTGCAATTCCAACCACTATAGAAAACAGGCTCCCGCCAAGCCCCGACACGTCACACTCCCCAGCTGCCTCCGAGCCACTCACACCTCAAGCCACCGCCTTTTCTGCAGCAAACTCCTCCAAAAATAGCAGCAATAGGTCAAAAAAATCACAGTTCCCTCCCCTCCCTGCAGGTGCCCCCGAGGGCAGGTCTGGGCACAGCCAGGGCCCCGTTTTTGGGTTAAGAAGCAGCTGTGCAGCCACAACTCACTTTCTGCCTGGGTGGTGAGGGCAGCTCCGGTGCCCATGGCAGCAGCATCCCCGTGGGAGACAATGGTCACCTTGATTTTGGCTCGTTTGGAGGATTTGGAGCACTGGGTCGGGCTGGGGGGCTGGTGCCTCTTCAGCTGCAAACGCACATCATCTTTCTCAGCCCCTTCCGAGGGCTCTGGCACCGGAACTGGGGGACACAGAAGGAGCTGTTTGAGCACCTCGAGGTCAGCGCTGCTCCACTGGGCACTGGAGGGACACATGCCCATGCACACACCTCCTCAGCTCCCTCCATGCCAGCCTTGCCCATTCCCATGCACCAGGAACACGCTTTCCTTTCCACCTCAGCTGGCTCCTGCCCGTCCTGTGCTGAATTAAGGCCAGGATTTGGCTTAAGCTACTCATAGGCTAAGGCAGGATTGGATGTAACATCTGTCTTGGCTCTGCAGAGAAGAGGAGAGTGGAGACTGGCAGAGATGGTGCAGGATCAGAGCTTAGCCTACCTGCTCCTCCAACACAGCCAAGGGATTTGCACACCTATTATTCCTCCTGGAACTGGGCAGGTTTTGAGGAGGCACCAAGCAAAGCAGAAAAGGTGCTGCAGCAAAGCCAAGCCCCCCCAAGCCCCACATTGGTACCTGGGGAGAAAACCCATGTGTTGAGAGTTCTCTTCCACACCAATGTGTCATTTTGCTGCCGCATCCTCGATGTGTCACATCCATTCCATCCTCCCTAAAGCACAAACTTCCCAGGGCCAGAGCACGAGAAAAAGCACAGGGGACCCACAACAGCTCAGGAACAAGACACAGTCATGAGCTGCCACATCCTACCCATCCAGCATCTCCCATGATCATCCAGCCCAGCCTGAAATGCTGGGAATTCCGTTTCCAGATGGTCCTGGGCATCCAAGCCATGTATTCCACAGCCCAGAGGCCAAGATGTACATTCCTTTTTATTTATAAATATCCAAGTGCACATATATCGTATAAAATAGATATACATGTGTGCGTACGTACATATTTATACACTGCGTACCACCTACACACCTCGGAACTGTGGATATAGGACAGGATTGCAGTCAAATCCTGAAATTTCAGGCAACTCCAAGCATTCTGGGGCTGCTCTGGTCCCCAAGACAAGTGCCAAGCTCGCTGTCCTGCTCTCCATGGCCGGACCTGAGGCCTGTTCACTCGTGCAACACTTCCATGCCTTACCCCACCTCCCAACATGCACCATTCAGACCCAGATGCATCCAGAGAGTCCTCGGAGCCGTGCACAGCCTGTAGGTCCCACAGCCCCACCCAACAGCCACCAGCCAAGCAGGAAGGCACATGCACAGGTGTCAGGTGTCCCTCAAAGCATCAACAAGCAGTGACCAAATGTCCCTCTGTGTCCCCACCACTCCAGGGAGGACCCTGTTCTTCCTTGTGGATCTGTGAAGCTCCGCCCAGTTTCCTGCCTCACATCTCAGGTAGTAACAAGGTCAGAGATTTTAACTGGCTTTTGAAGTCATGAACACACTCCCCAGGCTGGTGCCAGGCTCTCCACAGCTCCCACCAGCTGGGGATTCTCCTGCAGGGCTCCAAGTGTGCTCCCTCCCGTCATGGCACAGGGGAGAGCTCTGAGCGAGGCTCCAGGGAGAAAGAAACCCCTAAACAAGGCTCAAGAGGGAAAGAAACCTTTCAAACCACCAGCCTGGGGCAATATCTGGCTCAGGGGTTGGTTACCATGGTTGGAGAGTTAAAGGCAGCAGCATTTGGGGTGGCAGAAGAACTTTTCACCCATGTCAGCTCTCAGCACCCTAATGGAGAACTGACACACTTATATGACGACACCACAGTCTCCCAAAGCCTTGGATTTCCACTTTTCCTCCTCTTCTCCTAACCCCAGATCCACACATTCACTGTCATTCATGATGGTAAAACACATCTTTAGATACTATGGATTTCACCCCTTGATTCCAAACCCTCAGAGCACAACACACTTGGTTCACCTCTTGTGCTCAACCTGAGAGACTCCAGGACTACAGAGTGCTCACTTCCACATGTCTTCTGGTCCAGACAGTATCCCTCTCCCCGATCCATCACAGTTTCCCAAAGACACTCCTCTCCCTGATCCATCACAGCTTCCCAAAGCCATTGCCCTCCCTGAGCTCTCTGCTCTCTCTAGTTCCCTCAGGCCAAGCAAAGCTGCTCCACATGTCCCTTCCGAGTCACTTGGCTGTCCCTTGTTTCTCTCCCACATGTCTGGGATGCTCCACCACAACCACACATGGTCTCTTCAGGTTGATGTCCATGTCCCCTTCTCACCCCCAGCAAGGAAAAAGGTTAAACTCGTGCACAAAGCTTTAGTCCATCAAAGCAAACCAGCTGCCAGACACTGCCTTTATCCACTGGGAATGGGGAAGAGCTCGGAAAAAGTCAAAGCTCCCAGGTAAAGTGGGTCCTCGGCTCCAGCTCCAAATACAGCAAAGAGGAAGTAAAAAGCAGGGGGACAAGGGGACACGTTGGACCACATCCCCAAATCAATGCAAGGGGAGAGGAAGATGATGGAAGAAGGGAGAAGAGACAGAGAGGAGGGAGACAGGGAGAGAGACAGCGGGAAGTGAGGGGATACTCACCAAAGAGACATGAAGAGGTGCCAGGAGGAAGAGCTTTCCTCACCAGCATGTTTTGTTTCAGAAAAGCAGCAAACTGAGCTGAAATGAATCAGAGAGAATTACGGGATCACAGGACCTCTAGAGGGGACACGGGGCTCCAGGGACACCACAGACAGACCTCGGAGCAGGAACAGAGCTCTGGACACAACTCATCCAGCCACAGGCACAGTAGAGACATAGCCACCTCCTCCTCATCCCACCTCTCATCTGGAGCCCTCTCCAGCCCCACAGCCACTGGGAAAAGAACCTAGAAACAAGGGCAGGCCTGGCTAGGAGAGCACAGTTAAGCTTGGCTCAATTGCACCAAGGAGCTGAGAGCAATTGGGAGAAATGAGCCAGCACATCCCTGAGCAGCTCCAGCCAGGAGCAGCAGCATTGCTGACTAAACCTGAGAGCCACGACACAGCCAAAGACCCAAAAAGACCCTCCTCCTGCCTCCCATGTGCTACCTAGAAACTGCTTCCCTCAACTACAACAACAAAGGAATAATAGTCTTTCAGTCCATGGTCTGAGAAATTAAGGAAAATGTAAGCTTCAGCTTCCTATTGGAGTCTATCCCTGAATTAGGAAAAGGCTTCAGAGGATGTAGAAGGTCCCACTGCTGCAGGAGACAACAATGAGCCTGTACAGGTCTGCCCTGGGCAAAGAAATAAGGAGAGAAGGAAGGATGGAGAACTACTGCCCACGTATTTGCCAGGAGGATCCTCATCCACAAAACCATTCCCTACACTCCTGGCATTCACCACCACAATGAAGCTGCACAGAAAGGTTTTAAATCAACACTAACGAGACATAAAACCCCACAGGATGGGTTCTTATTCAGAGTAGGTTTTCCACAGCCACTTACTGCAAGATCACTCTATAATTCCCCAAATCCCACAGTTTCAGTCTTAATTCAACAGCCTCAACTATTGCCTGAGCACCTTTAGTCTCTTCCCAAGGAGTCTTCAAGGATTCATAACACTGGACAAGGTTCTTCCACTTCCAAAAGGATTAGAGCAAGCCTACAGAGGGATCTGATGAGCCAAAGTGAAAGTCCTTCCCACTCCCAACAGCAGGAAGACCATTCCCAACCTAATTCCAACCCTCTAACACCTTCAGATGGCAGCGTCAGGGACTGAGCTGGAGAAAAAGCTGCCACGGGGAGCTTGGAATTCAAGACAGGACTTGGAAGACAAAAACCTCCACATACCAGGACAGAGAAAGACCAAAAATCTGGATGCTAAAAGGGTGGGAAAGCTGCAGGGAATTACCTTGTGCCTGCTTGTGTGTCAGGACCGTGTCTGCCCTTGGCACCTGCCTCTTGAGGAGTTGTGTGGTGCCCACCGCGGGGGGCTTCTGGAGGGATATGGTGGCCACTTTGGTCTTGGGGCTGGAAGTAGGGCTGCTGGAGACGCTGGATAAGTCCTGCTGGAAGAGAGGGACACCTCTTATCCCCACGTTTCCCTAAGTCAGTCTTAACCCTGAGTGTCAGGAATCCTTCAGCTGGAGCACACCTATCTCTGAAGGTTCATTTGCCTCACCACAAGCTGTTGGAACAATGGAATTGTTAAGGCTGGAAAAGACCTTTAGGATCATCAAGTCCAACCGTAACCCACCACCACAGTCACCACTAAACCAAATCCCCAAGTGCCACAACCATGTGTTTTTTGAACACTTCCAGGGATGGTCACTCCACCACTGCCCTGGGCAGCCTCTTCCAACGCTTTACAACCCTTTCCATGAAAACTTTTTCCTAATATCCAACCTAACTCTCCCCTGGCACAACCTGAGGCCATCACTCCTCCACATCCTCTTACCTCCATCTTCAACAGTAATCACAGCTCTCACCATGTATTTCAGTGGCACAGAGGTACCTCTTTACACAACCTCAGTCTTTCCCAGCTGGAATTACCATAGAAAAAGCTCCCACCTCTGATCCTGAGGGTGAGGCTGGCACTTTGGCTGCCGGGGAGGTAGGTCTGCTGTTCCTTTCTGGCAAGTCAAAGGATAGATCCCTCCTGGTGGAGTCACGGGGCTTTTTCTTCTTCTCAGCATCCAGGTCCCGGGGGTCAGAGCCCAAGTGGCTCTCAGCTCGGGTCAGCACTCCAGTAAGGAAGTCAGCTATCTCATCCTAGGGATGAGGGAATTAATAGCTGGATTAAGAGGTGGACAGGTCTCTAACAATGGATCTTCACAGCTTGAAGCAAAGGAAGAATAAGATTTCCAGAAAGATAAATGGATAAGGCTCTGTAGGTTTCATATTCCACAGGAAGAATCCCTAAAACCTCACAGACAGACCCAAGAATGAGACTCCCAAAGGGACAAATGGATAAGGCTCTGGAGGTTTCATATTCCACAGAGAGAATCTCTAAAACTTCACAGACAACCTTGGTTTTCTCATTAAAACTCACACCCCACTGAGTTTGGACACCTGAGAGAGAAATATGACGGTTTCTTCAAACTTCCCAAAAATATCCCAAAAATACCGCCTGTGTCCCCTGGGAGACTTAGGAAACTGCTCCTTGTTTAAGGTGCACCACCAGGAATCTTTAAGGGGCACCATCAAGAATCTTTAAGGAGCATCACCAGGAATCTCACGTCTTTCCTTCTGAAACAGCCACTTCCAAAGTCCCCTCAGGAGACAGATTCCCTTCAAACCAGTCCTGGCTGGAACCTTTGGGTACTGAAACATTTCAGCAGGGATTACCCCTTTTTTTGGAGGTGTGAAGGGAAGATCCCCACGGTTACCTGGATGCACCTGTCCACCATGCTCTGGGTCAGGCCTTCTGACTTCTTTTTGGCTTTGCTTATCCTGGGGAATAAAAACAGATGGAAATCAACATGTTTGGTTTTCTACTTCCACGCTTACAACATCTTCACCTGAGAAGAAGATTCAAGTGACGCAAGGTGGCTCCCTTACCCAGTTACATACTGAGTCAGGCCTGAGTAAGAGCCTTCATGTCACAACCCAAGAGCACCAAGTACTGGAAGGATGAGATTGATCCCTCAGAAGTGCCAAGATAAACTTTGAGGAAAAATATCCAGCATCTCAAAGCATTTTCCAAAGCAAATCTGACACTTCACAGCTTTTTCTCCAGACCCAGTGTCAGAATTTTATGTTTCTTTCTTTCCTCTCTTTTACTGATTTTTCCCACTAGAGATTTCTGATTCATATGATGCTCTAAAACCTGATCTGTGCTGCTGGGCCCAGCTCTTGATCAGGCCCAGCTCTAGATCAGGCAACCCCATTCCCATACACAACTGGCTCAGCTTTTTGGTGCAGTTATTCCAAACTTACCCACGTATGAAGCATTTTCATGACATTCCCACTTGGTTTCAGTATCAAATCTGGGTTTTATTTACACAGCACGCCCAGATGTTGCCCAGAATTCCTGGGAAGAGAGAGTATCCACCTGACAGGGCATTACCTGAGATTGTCATCTGCTCCCCCCACCACCACCATGCTGTTGTCTGCCCGGATTTTCTCACGGAAATCCTCCATGGCTTCGATGTTGCACTGCAGGGAATTCTGCCCAATGACGAAGAGGACAGGGGTCTTCATCTCCAGGAGGGGATCATCAACATCCTGCAAGAGCACAGGAAATTCCAATCTGGAAGGGCTTAGCCAGGATGAAGAATCTTTGGAGCCTAACATCTGAAGAAGCACTCGGGGTGAAGCCCAATGGGATTGACAGGTATATTGAGTCCAGATGAAAACTGCTCCAGCAAACACCTCCCAGATGGATTTCCAACACCCTCGGAATACGCCACTGCATTAGCACAGCTCCAATTATTCCTAAGCCAGTCACACACTGTCAGCTTATAAAGGAATAAACCACCTCTGGTGCAAAATGATACAGTTAATGAGGGACCCAGGGCACAGTTAACGAGGGATCCACACGTCCAGCAAGGAGCTGCAAAATCAGGTCACAGCCGAGACAAACCCACACAGCACCTCTCACACCTGCTATTGCATCAAGAATCCCACTAGAAACGCAACAGTCCCTACTCTGAATGCAACACCTCCTTCGAAGACAAATTACACAGACATTCTTCAAAAAATACGCCAATTTCACTGGACTTCCAAGCCTGATTCCATGAAACAATGTAGGGAGGTTTAATGACAAGCAGAGTCTTTTCAACAGCTTCACCTGGTCCTTACCCCTCTGGGGCCATCCACCGTGAGCAGTGGGAATCCAAGGCACACAACGGCAGTGACATATTCCATCACTGAAACCTGGGCAGAGAGAGCAGCACTCAGCATTCTCACAGCACAGAGCATCCCGGGAGCAAAAGCTGCTGTGCCAGGCACAGAAACACCTTCCATAGCTACACTTGGTTTTGGAGATTAAAAGAGTGATTAGAAAATGTTAAATGACTCAAATTGCTAACGGCCCAGAACCACAGACTAGTCAAAAGCAGGCCTTGGAAAGAGCAAAGGGACAACGAGAACCTAGCAACTGTAACAGTCTCCCAAATCCATCTCTGAACTGAGGCTGCCAAGTGGGCTCTGGGAGAATCACAGAACCCTGGAAGGATTTGGGTTGGAGGAACCCTAAAGGCCATCTAGTCCCAACCCCTGCCATGGGCAGGAACACTTTCCACTAGACCAGGTTGCTCCAAGCCCAGTCCAACCTGGCTCCAACTAGACCAGGTTGCTCCAACCCAGTCCAACACTTACAGGGATGGGGCAGCCACAGCTTCTCTGGGAATTCCATCCCAGTCCCTCACTACCCTCACAGGAAAGAATTTCTTCCCAGTATCCCATCTATCCCAGCCCTCTGGCACTGGGAAGCCGTTCTGCCTTGTCCTGTCCCTCCATCGCTTGTCCCAAGTCCCTCTCCAGCTCTCTTGGAGCCCTTTCAGGCACTGGAAGGGCCTCTCAGGGCTCCCTGGAGAGGTCTTTCTCCAGGTGAACAGCCCCAGCTCTCCCAGCCTGGCTCCAGAGCAGAGGGGCTCCATCCCTTGGAGCATCTCTGCAGCCTCCTCTGGACCTGCTCTAACAAATCCATATCCTTCTCGTGCTTCCTTGAAGACGTAAAGGAATCAGGTACTCACGTGACAGGCCACCAAGGCACCCGTGTTCCACCCGATCAGGATGATCTGCTTATGAGAGAAGTGGTTGTGAATCTATGGGAGACAAAAACACAGGGATGCAGAAAAAGGACAGACAATGGGATAATGTCCTGGGGTAGCACAGCACCTCCAGGAACGGGAATAAGGTCAATGGGAGCACAAAGACTCCCTTATAAACCCATTACCTCTCCCTCACCTCTGCCACTTTGCCCCTCACAGCCCCAATCATGTGCTCCAGACACTGCAGCACTCCCACCCCACTGCCATTGTTCAGCAGGGAGGTGGCAATGGGAATCACCTGCCAGTGGAGAGGGAAAATCAGGAATTAACCAAGGCCTTACTGAGGACAACAGGTGCCGACAACAATTAGCACAGAACAGAACCTATTTTATGTATGAACTTGTGCTTTCTCTCCTTCTTTACCCCAGGATTCATTTCTAGCTACTAAAACCACGGTAAACGGAGAACTCCCCATGGATTCCCAATAGAAACCAACTCCCCTCACTCTAGTGTATCAAACACACTCATTAGGAGATATTGAGCCGCTCCATAGCCAAGAGGACTAACATGACCTCCAGTCTCCCTTATCCAACCCCTTCCTATCAGAACCCTCATCAATCCTTAATAACAGTATCAAAAAACCCCAAACACATCAGATTTGGGCAAATCCATCCCTGTGCAGTCTCCAACAGCAAACGCTGAGGCTGGCAAGTGCCAGCCTCTGCTTTCCAAGGATTTTGGTGTACCAAAGGCTTCTGGAAGCAGCTCTGTCCTTCCCCCACAGGCAAGCCCACACACCTTTCCCAGGCAGGAGAGCTGTGACTGCCAGAAGCGGTGCCGTCGGGAAGCAGGGAACATGGAGTTGGCAGGGCCAGAGGAAGCGATGAGGATGAGAGGGGAACCAGGCAACTTGCTCTGCGAAGTTCAAGAAAGAGATCTGTCGGGGAGAGTAACTTCTCTGGAGGTACCTCACTGCCTGCCTGGCCTGCACAGAGAAGCGGGAGGGACCTTTGCACATCTCGTTAAGTGATTGTTTTCCCAAGCCAAAGTTGGGGATAGTCCAGGGCGAATGTGTCCAACAAGAGGAGTCCCTGTCACTGGGAAAGTCAAAAACATGAGAAAAGAGCTCAGGGAGAAGACAGAGGTGGAAAGAAGAGAAGAGGAATGTGAATTTCCCAAGCCAAAGCTCCCTTAGGATAGCCCAGGGGGAACGTGCCCAACAGGACTCCCCATCACTGAGCAAGTCTAACGCAGGGGGAAAGAGCAGAGAAGAAAGAGGTAGAAGGAAGACGAAGAATAAAGCTGATGTGGGACCTCTCACTCCCCACAAGCTCCTAGAGGCACTTACTGGTTTATTATGGGACAGGACACCCACTGCTGGGTCCCAAGGCCTCTTGAGCAGCAGGGACAGAGCCTCAGCCCCAGCTGCTCCTGTCTTGGCCGTGGAGGAGAGCAGCATCCTGTCAATCAGTGTGGGGATCTGAAATCAGAGACCAGGAGGGACTGAGAAAACACACACAAAACAAGATATAACGATTTCATCTGCGGGCTGGGTAAAGGGAGAAGGTCATCCATGACAGCCAAGTCTCCAACTGCTTTTATCACCTTTCCTTTCAGGGTCTGTAGAGCATCCAGGTACGCAGCCAGCACAGGCAGGCTGAGGGTCTCCACCAGTGTCGTGTGGAGCCACTGGATAAGTTTGGTGTCCCAGTTCACACTGGCCAGGGCCTGGCGCACCCTCCGGGCACATTTATCCACCGCTATCCTCCTCAGAACAGGCTCATTGCAAGCCTGGAGACCAGGAAATTCAAAAGGAACAGTTATGGGGAAAATCAAGTATGTCACACGCATCCTGATCCATAGTAAAGTGTTGGCTTGGGCAGCCCTAAGACCCCTGGAAGCAAAGCTCAATATCTGGCACTGACGACTAAACCTGTCCTTGGAAGAGAAGTGGAGGCTGAGGGGAGCCCTCACAGAAAGCCAAAACTTCCTCCTGAGGGGCAGCTTTGATCTCTGCTCTCTGTGACCAGTGATAGGACACGAGGGAATGCACTGGAGCTGTGTCAGGGGAGGTTTAGGTTGGATATCAGGACAAGGTTCTTCCCCTAAAGGGCGGTTGGGCACCGAACAGGCTCCCCAGGGCAGTGGTCACAGCCCCAAGGCTGCCAGAGCTCAAGGAGTGTTTAGACAACGCTCTCAGGGGTAGGGTGGGATTGCTGGGGTGTCTGTGCAGGGCCAGGAGATGGATCAATGATCCTTGTGGGTCCCTCCCAACTCAGGATATTCTGATTCCACAAAAATCATGGCTCAAAGAAGCCCGGAGCTGCCTGTTCCTTGAGGCTACATGACCGAAAGGCCAAGATTTCCATCCTGGCTTTGCTGGGAAGGACAGACACAACTCTCACCCCCTCATTGGCCAGGCGAGCCAACCTGTCCGACTGTAGCGCTTTGTGGATCTTATTAAACAGCTTGTTCTGGGCCATGGTCCAGCCCGTCCTGTGGGGAGAGACACACATGAGCTGTCACACACAGACCCAGGACCTGAGAGCTGCTGTCCATAAAACAACCAAAATCCTCATAACGTTAAAACACTGTGGGCTGGGGGGTTCCATAGGGTGGAATTTATGCACATCCTCATTTTCTTTGACATTGGAACATGGCTGAACTGAGGATCTACGTGTAATCCAATGACTCCCCAGATCCCTGCCTGTGCTGGGCATTGTTGAAGCTCCTTCAATCCTGGGGACAGTTCTGGGCCCTCACCTCAATACAGACACTGAGGGGCTGGAGTGTGTCCAGGGAAGGGAATGGAGTTGAGGAAGGGGCTGAGGGAGCTGGGGGGGCTCAGCCTGGAGAAAAGGAGGCTCAAGGGGGACCTTCTTGTTCTCTGCAACTCCCTGACAGGAGGGTGGAGCCAGGGGGGATCAGGCTCTGCTCCTAGGGAAAAAGGGACAGGATGAGAGGAAGCGACCTCAAGCTGAGCAAGGGGACAGTCAGGTTGGATACTGAGGAAATTCCTTCACGGAACAGGCCATTCAGCCCTGGCACAGGGGTGGAGTCCACACCCCTGGGGCGATTTAACATCCCTGTGGATGTGGTACTTGGGGACATGGGTTTCTAGTGGCCTTGGCAGTGCTGGGGAATGGGTGGACTCAATGACCTTAAAAATTTGGCTTTTCCAACTCAAATGAGTCTATGGATCTGTTCCATCACTCTATGACTCATTGTCCCAACCTCCCCTGAATACATGAGATGGATTCATGAGAGAGACATCTGGAGGAATTTCTTCACAGAAAGGGTGGTCAGGTACTGGAAGCAGCTGCCCAGGGAGGTGGTGGAGTCCCCATCCCCAGAGGTATCCAAGGAACAACTGGACGTGGTACTCAGTGCTCTGGGCTGGGTGACAAGGTAGGGATCGGGCACAGGTTGGACTCAATGACCTTGGAGGTCTTTTCCAACCTTAACGATTCTGGGATTCCATGTCAGAGAGGTTCACCAGCTGGGCCACCCTCCACCATCCCACTCAGATGTCACAGCAGACAGATGAGTTTGGACACAAAAATCCACTTTCCTTGAACACAACTCAGTTCAGTAACATCCCTGTGTGTCCAGTCTCACCAAAACCCTCCCAGCACTCCAGGGGGTGCCAGAATTCCCTGTTCCTGCTCTCTCTGGGTACCTGTTAAGTGTTCCTCACACTCAAATCCCCCCAGCACTCCATGGGGTGTCGGAATTCCCTGTCACTGCTGTCCCTGGGTACCTGTTGACGTGCTCCTCCCAGTCATCAGGGGGCGGAGGTGCGTCAGCGTCCGTGCGTGCGAACATGACGTGCCTCTCGCACTCGTTCATCACACTACGGGCCTTCTGGTTGTCGTACAGGGGCACCGGGGTGGGCGTAACTGTCTCCACGTCGATGGGCACGTCGGCCTCCCTGCCAGGGAACAGGGGTTTAGGGCAGCGACGGATTTAGGACAGGGACGGGTCACCCTGGGCTCTGCTGTGGTGGGCACTGAGATTCAGGGACCCTGTTACTCCTGATTTGTGCCCTGGTAGCCCCCTGGATTCCAAACTAAGTTTCCTTGGCTGCCCAAACCAAACCCACTGGACCCCAAACCAAGCCTATCCTGGACCTCCAAACCAAATCCCTGCACCCCCAAACCAAGCCTATCCTGGACCCCAAACCAACACCCTGAACCCTCAAACCAATAGCTCTCTGAACCCCCCAGCCAAGCCCATTGGACGCCAAACCAAGCACCCTTTGGATCCCTAAACCAGGCCCATCTTGGACCACAAATCAACCCCCCGGGCCCACAAACCAAGCCCTCTGGATGCCCAAACCTGGTCTGGTCTTCCCAGAACCACATTCTCCCTTTCCCTCAGGGCCTGTCCTGCTCCTCCCCCCAGATCCCCCCAAACTTCCCCTGTCCCACAGGACCACTCATATGACCACAGCCCTACACACGCCCCTCAGCTCCCCCTCACAGGCACCACAGCCTCCCATCACAGCCCCCATGTGCCCCACAGGTCCCTCAGGACCCCTTACAGCCTCTCAGCCCCAGAGAACCCCCCTACCCACCCCACAGTCCCCGCCAGGACATCAGGGTGTCCCCACCCTTCTGCTCCACAACCCCCAAACTACACCCCAGGACCCCCACCCTTCCCTCAGCACCCCAGCCCCACACTGTCACCTGACAGCTCCTCTCCTCACCCCACAGCCCCTCAGGACATGCTCTCAGCCCCTACACAGGTCCCTGATCCCAAGAGTCCCCCCAGATCAACAGGAGCCCCAAATTCCCCCTCACAGCCCACCCACCTGCCACTCAGAACCGCCACAAGCCCCTCAGGACAAGCTCCCAGCCCTTAAGGAGGCCCCTGAGCACCCCCACCCCCCGCCTCCTCTCACCGACCCCCAGCCCTTCCGAGTCCCCTCTGACCCTCAGAACCCCCACAGCCCCTCAGGACCACCCGCTCTCCCCTCACAGCCCCACCACCTACCCCCCAGGATCCCCCTGGCCCACTCCAGACCCCTCACCCTCTTCTCCCAGGCGCCCCCGCCGCAAGCCCCCTTAGTCCCTCAGAACAGCCCCCCAGACCCCCCGCCCTCCTTCCCCGCCAGTCCTCCTCCCACCCCCTCAGTGTCTCACGGGGCGGTGCCGAGGTGCCTGCGGGGTGTGATGAAGAGCAGTCGGGCGGGCCGGGCCGCGCTGGCATCGGGGTGCGCGCTCCAGGGTTTGGCGTAGCTGTGGTCGAGGAACACGAGGTCCAACTCTCGCTCGTGCGCCGACAGCTGCAGTAGCAGCGACGTACCCATCCTGCGGGCCGACCACTGCAACTCTCGCTCCCTGTCGTGCTCCCTGTCGCGATCGCGGTCGCTGCAGCGCTGCGACATGGCGGGAGCGCCACCCCGCTCTTCCCCAGTACAGCGCGTGCGCGGAGCGCGCGCCCGCCCCGGATCCGCAGTGCGCTTGCGCGGGGCGGGATCTCGAGAGTATCGTGCGAGGGATCAGGGAATGTGGGAATATCCCAAGTAGGGGAGGAACCTACAGGGCCCAGACGGATCGGTCAGTCCAACTCCCGGCCCTGCACGGGACACCGGGCGCACCCACAAAACACCGTGAGGGGGAAAGGACACACAAGGATCAGGTAATGTCCCGATTAGATAATGTTTACTCCCCCACTGAGTAAACACGTGTGGCCCTGTCCCTCCTTCAAAATCTCGGGAAGTGCCAGAGCACAGCATGAGTGTTAAGGGAGTGTTCCCGCGTTCCCATGTTCAACATTCCCATCTTCCCGCGTGCCAACGTGTCCCCTTTGTGTCCCTCCATGTCCCCTCTGTGTCTCTCCATCATCACTCCATGTCTCCTCTGTGTCCCATCCATGAACTCCTCACATCTCCACCATGTCCCCTCCCCATCCCTCTCATTGTTCCATCCATGAACACTTCACATCTTCCACGTCTCCTCCATTTTCTGTCACTGGTGGCTCTATGTCCTCTCTTATTATCCCCTCCATCACTGCACCGTGCCCTCTCTGTGTCCTCCTCCTGTCCCCTCCACATCTCTCTAATGTCCCCTCCATGTCCCCTTTGTGTCAGGGTGACACAAGACACGGGAGCACATGTACACGGAGACACAGGAACACGGTGACGTGGCTGCTCATGGGCATGGCAGTGACAAGGACACGGGGACATGACTGCTCACAGACATGGCCACGCAATGGCAGAGACATGGGGACACAGAGGGACACAGTGACATCTAACAGTCCCTGCCAGCCAACAGTCCCTGCCCTGCCTTCCTCCCGTTGACATTCTAGAACATGGAAACCAAACCGTTGCGCTGCTGTGGTGTCATCAGTTTGGGCACAGCACATGAGGGGTACATTGATGGCATCCCCTTGGTGACAACATCGGGGTGGCACATTGGTGGTAGCCCCTTGATGACAGAACCTTGAGGGGTGGCACATTGGTGGCACCCCTTTGGTGACAATCTCGAGGGTGGTACATTGGTGACAAACCTGCAGCCATTTCTTTGGTGACAGCACTGAAGCCATCACCAGTGACAGCTGGCCCACTGGTGGCAGCCCCTTGGTGACAAACCTGCAGTCGTTTCTTCGGTGACAGCACCTCAGGCGTGGCACATTGGTGGCAGCCCCTTGGTGACACTCGTGCCGCCACCCCCAGTGCCAGCAGTCCCTGGCCATGCTGCGGCTCCACGTGGTCAGTGTCCACATCCCTGGGGCCACCAGCTTTGGTCCCGGTGTCCGTCTGTCTGTCTGCTTCCGAGGTACTACTGGACATGGGGAGGGGACACCACAGTGGCTGTCCCTGTGGGGCTGGGTGGTATTGGCCATCCTGGTGTGAGGGGTGGCATCCCAGCAGGACAGGATGGTGGTGGCCACAGCTGGGGACAGCTCTGGGTGTCCCAATGCATGGGGCCAGTGTCAGGCTTGCCCTGCTACACCAGTGACCCCACCCTGAGGTGCCACCGTCCTCCTCTTGTCCCCCCCACAGGTACCTCCAGGAGAACCCAGGTGGTGCCTGAGGAGCGCAGCCCCACCTGGAATGAGGTGGGGTGAGCCCAGGTGGATCTGCAGTGGCACAGGGACACAACGGTCACCCCTCTGACCCCTTGTCACCTCCCTCTACCCTCCAGGAGCTGGTGTGGTCACTGGACGAGTGTCCCCTGAGTCCCATGGACACACTGAGCCTGCGCCTCCAGCACTGGGACCAGCCGGTGCCCTGGGGGTGAGTGGCAGGCGTGAGTGGGCACCCCAGTGTGACTCGCACCCCATGGCCACCCTCACCATGTTCCCCTGGCCCCTACAGGGACCTGGGTGGCACCACAGTGTCATTGGACCAGTTGGTGGCCAACCCCAGCCTGCCGATGGCCCGCAGGGATGTCCTGCTTCTGGACCACTGGGATAAGCCCACGGGGGTGAGCCCCCCACCCATAGAGCCCCACCCTCCAGCACTCTGGGTGCCACCAGGGCCACTGGGGTGTCACTGTCTCTTTACAGTGCACCGTCACCTTCCGCTGTTACTACACCCCCTGTGGCAAGGCTGGGAGTGCCATGGTCACCCCTCAGGGATGGGTGGCACTGCCAGGTGCACTGGAGCTACCTCAGAGCTCTGGCAGGGCCCCCGTGCAGAGGAAAGAGGATTTCCAGGTATGGCACCCCAAACTAAGCCTGGCCTAAACCCCAGACCAAGCCTATCTTGGACCCTCAAACCAATTGCTCTGGAACCCAAACCAAACCCCCTGGACCTCAAACCAAGCCTATTCTGAACCCTGAACTGAGCCAAGCACCTTGGACCTCCAAACCAAACCTCCTAGACCCCAAAACTGAGCCCCTGGGCCCCCAAATCAAAACCTGCTGGACCCCCAGACCAAGTCCCCTAACCCTAAACCAAGCCTGTCCTGGACTCCAAAGACAGACTATCCCGGACTCCAACCCAAGCCCCCTGGACCCCAAGACCCCTGAGGGCGACATCCCACCCATTGCCCACCCTGTCCCTGTCCTGCAGGTCCGAGTGAGGATCATCCAGGCCCGGCAGCTCCAGGGCAACGACATTAGGCCAGTGGTGAAGGTGTTCATTGGGAAGCAGCAATTCCGGACCCGGAGCCGGACAGGGAACAACCCCTATTTCAATGAGGTGACCCCGGGGAAGGGACACGGGGACTCCCAGTGTCCTTCAGCCCACGCTTACCCTCTTTGCCCTCTCTTTAGGTGTTCTGCCAAAATTTCCACGAGACACCAGAGCAGTTGGTGGCACAGCCCATCCGGATCCAGGTGGGAGGGATTGGCGGCACCAGCAGGGATGCCGCAGGGACAGGGACAGGGATGGGGACGAGGACAGGGGGTGGCTCCTGATACCATGTCCCGTCCTTGTCACAGGTGCTCCGTTCCAAAAACCTCTGCACCAAAGCCATCATTGGCACCTTTGAGGTGAGGGATGTGGCTTGGGAATGAGGATTTGGGAACTGGGGGACTGGAACAGGGCATTGGGAATTGGGCTTGGGAATGAGGAGTCGGGAATGGGATGCTGGGAAGGGAGTGTCTGGAACAGGGCATCAGGAATGGGGTTTTGGGAATGGGGCACAGGGAACGGGTTGTTGGGAACGGGGTGTGGGATCACTCTCACCCCTTTGCTGTCCCTGCAGCTCAACATTGGCACTGTGTACTCTGCACCAGGTGGGTGAGAGGGTTGAGGTGACACCAGAGTAACACCAGGGTGACTCTGGAGTGACTCTAAGGTGACCACGAGGTCTCCCCACCCCCCGTTCCAGGGCGCAGCCTGAGCTGGAAGTGGCTGAGCCTGCAGCACCCGCGGCACCACGACGGCCGCTCCCAGGGGTACCTGCAGGTCAGCCTGGCCGTGCGCCGGGCCGGGGAGAGAGTGCAGGTGAGGCCCCCTAAACCCCTCAGCACCCCAAAAAACCCTTCTACGGGGGTCCCTAATTTGTGACACCTCCCCAAGGAGCAGGAGGTGCCAGCGGGGGACGAAGATGTGGAATCCAACCTGCTGCGCCCACCCCCACGTGCCACCATGCTGCAGATCCGCGTGTACCGTGCCCAGGACCTGCCGCAGAGTGGGCATGGGGGGGTTTGGGGTTGTGGGAGTTTGGGGGACCCCTCTGCTCACCTGTCTCCCCTTCCCGTGGCAGTGGAGCCGGTGCGGCCGTGCCTTGGCGGCAGGAGGGGCTCAGGGAAGGCGGTGGTGCGGGTCAGCTTTGCCGGCAGGACGGTGGGTGCTGGGCAGGGAATGGGGTGCACCAGGAAAAACAGGGGGGCTGGGTGATGGTGGGGGGCTTACAGCTCTACCTGATGCAGCTCTGCACCCGAGTGATGCCCTCCAGTGCCAACCCTGAGTGGAACGAGGTCTTCTTCTTCCCACTGCAGGTGAGGTGCCCCCCCCAAGCCCCCATTCTACACTTCTCCCCAAAACAGGAGTACCCCAAAAAATTTCCACACCCCCACCCCCATTCCCACATCCCTATTCCCACTCCACATACCTATTCCCACGCCTCCATTCCCAACCCCACACCCGATTTTGACACCCACTGCCCCCATTCCCACACCCCCTTTCGCCCCCACATGCCCTGTTCTCCCTCCACAGCTGCCCCCCATCTATGAGGAGATCCAGCTGGACCTTCTCCGAGGGTGAGTGGGGGACACCTCGGGATTGGGGGACACCCCCTTGGATTTAGGAGACACCTCTGTATTTGTGTGACCCCCCATGTTTGGGGGACCCCTCACACTCCCCTCCACAGGTCGTGCCGGAGCAAAGTCCTGGGCACTGCCACCATCCCGTTGTCCCAGATCTACCGAGACCCTGAGGAGCTACAGGGTGAGCTGGGCCCACCCTTGGGGGGTCCCCAGCACCCACATCCCCCTGGTACACCTGATCCCCCTTTTTTTCATCTCAGGGGGGACCCCTGGCTTCCTGCCCTGCTTTGGACCCGCCTTCCTGCCCCTGTATGGCCCCCGGCCCAACTGTGCCCAGGTACAGAGTGAGGGGGTGACAGAGTGGGCACGGGGGGAGGTGACAAGGTGGGCACCAGGGGATGGCAGGATGGGCACAGTGGCCATTTTGGGGAGGGACACCCACCTAAACTTCCCCTTTTTTACCCAGGACTCGGGGGTGGATTATCAGGGTCGGGTGCTCCTGGAGATCCGCACCCATGAGGGAACCGTGGACGGGCGGCAGAGAGACATTGTGGCACCCGTGGATGTGGAACGGGCACAGGTGGGACATGGAGACATGGGGGATATGGGACATGGGGATATGGGGACACAGAGACATATTTATTTATTTTTAATAATACGTACTATATTCAGTATACAACATATATAACGTATGTTATATAATATGCTTTAAATATTTATATATAAAATATATACTACATATACACTGTAATATATATAACACACACTATATTATGTTTATTATACAATATAGAATATGTGATTAATTTATACTAATGAAATATTAATATAATTAACATGGGATTAATGTATATTTTAATATTTCTCTCCCCCAGGCTTTGTTCATTGAAGGCCATCAGGGTTAATTTAGCAAAACTCAAAGTCCCATTAATTTCCCCAACCTGTGATCCCACGAAAACCAAACTTTGCTGAATGTGACCAGAAAGTGCTTTAAGCCCAACCCCTGGCTTATGGTTGATATAGTGCTGATGAGTAATTCAAACAATTAAACCATTAACCCCTCATTTCAGTGGTTTTGGGGTTATTTTGCAGCAGCAGCTCCTGCCTCGGTGCCAGTGGGGGCTCTGTGGGGTGTTTTACTCAGCCACAATGGTCCCAGAGGGTCCTGATCCACTGGGATTTGAGCTCAGGATTGGACATGACTCCTCAGCCACCCCGCAGAGCCCCCCCATGTTTGATGGTGAGTGGGGGGGACACCCCGTGGAGGGGGGAGACACAAACCAGGGTATGTTGTATAAACATGGAAAATACAATATAAATATAAACTACTACATAAATATAGAGAATATTGTACAAATATCTAAAATATCCTAATAATAAAACAACAGTGTTTGATCCCTATAGCAGGCTTAGTTTTGTACCATGTAGTGCTTAGTACAAACACCAGTAATTGAAGGGGCTTTGTGGTAATTCTCTGTATCTTACTCAAATTAGTCCTTCATTAATTACCTAAATCAGTGATTAATTAATATGGACTGGAAGATGTCTCAGTTTTGGGAACAAAGGTTGAGTGTCAGAGCAGAGTGATCAGAGAAGGGGCACTGTGACCTGACCATGTGTTTGGGATGCTCTCAAGAAGAGAAGATTCATCAGAAGATCCAGAACCATCAAAGGGAAATTTGGGGAATGGGATGTTTGCAAACGACCACCAAAGCCTCTTAGAAGACTGCTACTCAGATCTAAATTACTCCACAGAGATAACTGGCAGAGTATTCATTAAATGTGATGAATATGTAACACAGTGGGATAAATATGGATCAGTTCATGACTGTCCCCTGCTCTGGTGGGTTCTGGAGGTGTGCTTGGGTGCACCCAACAAAGGAATATTGTTTTCCAACCCCAAAAAACCCTCTTGGAGAGTTCAAATCCTGTTTTGTGGTGGCGCAGGGAACCTGTACCACCACCTGTCCTGGCACGGCGACAAGCCAGTGGTGGCCGTCACCTCATCCTGGGAGGACAATTGTCACCGCTGGGACACCCTGAACCTCCTACGTGCTCTGTGCCGGCGCCTGGTGAGACCCTTGGGGTGGGCAGATGTGGGGTGGGCAGGAGTGTGGTGGGATGGGATCCCCCCATCCCAACTGCAATGGTTTGGGATGTGATTTCAGGAGAAGAATGTGGCGGAGCTGCGGTGCTGCCACAGGGATGCTGCAAGGGACATGGGCGTGAAGCTACTCTGGGAGCTGGAGCAGGACTGCACGTGAGGGGGGGTCCTGGGGGTCCCACGACCCCCTAATCAGGGCTGGGGGAGCAGGACTGCATGTGAGAAGCAGGGGACTGGGGGTCTTGAGGGTTCCAAATCCCCCATATTGGGGCTTGGGGAGCAGGACTGCACATGAGGGAGGGGGCTGGGGGTTCTGGGGGTCCCAACCCTGCCAAAATGGAATGGGGAGTTTGGAAGCTATATGGGATCCCTGGGTTTGTCAGATCTGGGATCCCAGAGTTTGGGAGAGTGGAATGGGGTATTTGGGGGGGAAAATGGGATTTCTGAGCTTCTCAGTCAAGGTTTGGGGCAGTGGAATGGGGTATTTGGGACATTTTTGAGGATGATGGGACATTTGGGGAGAACATAGCATGAGGGGGAAATGGGATACTTAAAGGTGGAATGGGGCGTTTGGGGGAAAAAAATGAGGAATTGGAGCAAATGAAGAATTTTAGAAGATAACAGGACATTTGGGGTAAATATGGGACACTTGAGAAGACAATTGGGTATTTGGAGGGGGAAATGAGACATTTTGGGGGGGCAGCAGGACATTACTGGGCGGAACTGAACTTCATGGGGAAATGGGCATTTGGAGGGATACAAAGCATTTTTGGGAAAACCAGGTGGGGAGAAAGTTGGGCGTTTTGGGTGCAAACTGGAAGTTTTGGGGGTGTTTTTGCAGGCGGGCACTGGCCCAGCTGGAGGCACAACCCACGCCCTCCACGGCTCTGGATGAACAGCTCAGGAATTCCCGGCGGCTTCTCCTGCGGCATTTGTGGAATGTGGCCAAGGAGGCTCCAGTAAAGGCTGGGAAATACGACTGGGACACACTGGTGTTGGGGGCTGAGAGGTGGCTCAGACGGGTGGCTGCCCTGGCAGTGGAGGTGGGGAATTTTGGGGCATCATCACCTCTGAACGAGTTATATTTCTTTTAAAAGCAAATTAATTAATAGGAAATTCAAATTATAATTTAAATATAAATATAAATAATTATGAAATTAAAATTCAAGTGTAAGAATAAATTAAAATTTAAATATAAATTTAATGGCAATGTAAATGTAAAGAAATATCAATTTCTTTAAATTTTCTTTCCATGCAGCTTGGGGGGGAAGATGTTGGAAAATATTCTTAACTTTAGCACAATAATGTTCAATCCCTAAATCAGTGATTAATAGTCTTGTGTCAGCTATTTCTGCCCTTATTACCTCTATCGGTGATTAATTAATATGGACCGGGAGACGTCTTAGTTTTGGGAAGAAGGGTTGTGTGTCAGAGCAAAGAGTGATCAGAGAAGGGGCATCATGTATTTGAGATGCTCTCAAGGAGAGAGGATTCATCAGTAGATCCAGAACCATCAAAGGGAAATTTGGAGAACAGGGTGTTTCCAAATGACCACCAAAGCCCCTCAAAAGACAGATCCCAATAACTCCGTGGAGATAATTAGCAGAGTATTCAGTAATGTAATGAACATGTAACACAATGTGATGAATATGGGTCTATCCATGACTGTCCCCCGCTCCGGTGTGTGCTGGGGATGCATTTGGGTGCACCCAGCAAAGGAATGTCAGCTTTCCAACCCAACAAACCTCTTGGAGAGTTTAATTCTTGGCTTTTGGTCTCTCGCTGTGTCACTGCAGCCCCAGGCGGGTGTCCCCAACTTGGTGCTGTGGCTGCTGCGGGGGCAGCAGCGGGTGGGCTGTGCCCATGTCCCTGTCACCGATGTCACCTTCTCACCAATCGGTCCTGACGCCTGCGGGCGGCTCTGCGGGAGGATCCAAACCATCTTCCTGGTGGGAAGCTCCCCATATTCCCTCTATACCCCCTTCACATCCCCTTTATGCCCCTCATGTCCCCTCTGTCGCTGCTCGGCATCCCTTCCATGTGCCCCTCCCAAGCACGTCCCTCTCATATTCCCTCCCTGTCACCTCACTGCTCTGTATCTCCTCCATATTCCCTCAACACCCCCCTCCATGTCCCCTCTGTCACTGCTCTGTGTGCTCTCTATATCCCTCCCCATGTCCCCTCTATATTCCCTTCACATCCCCCCAACATCCCCTCCAAATTCCCACCACACCCCTTCCATGTCCCTTGGTGCCCATTCTGTGTCCCTCCGTGCCCTCTCTCTATCCTCTCCATTACCGCTCCATGTCCCACCACATGCTCCCCGTGTCCCGCTCTCTGTCCCCCCATATTCCCTCTCTCTCCCCTCCCCATTTCCACCCCTCACTCACATGTTGGGGTTCAGGGCTCTGAGACGGTCCGTGCCCAGGTCCGTGTCCGACTGTGGCTGTGCCGAGTGTGCGACAGTGGGGCCCTGCCTCCGCTCCTCGAGGGGTCCCTGCACTTCCACGCCGAGACCGTGAGTGTGACACCACCCTGGGACCACCCAAACCCCCTGAGGCAACACCCAAACCTTCACCAACCCTGCTGTGTTTTTGTCCCCCCAGTACGAAAACCGGACGAGGCTTCTGGGGAAATGGAGGCCCTGGAAGCTGTTAGGGCATCCGCCCTTCTCAGATGCTACCGGCAGGGAGGGGCTCCCTCCAGGAAAGATCCAGCCCCCCAAAGGATGGCGCTGGGAGGGGCCCTGGAATGTGGAGGTGCAGAAGAGGTGGGTGAGGGGGTTTTGGGGGGATAGGAGGGGATTTGGGGGAGTTTGAGGAGGATATGAGGGAATTTAAGGGGGTTATGGGGGGAGTTGCAGATGAGTTTGATGGGGATACAGGGGGTTTTGAGAGGGGGTTGAGGGGGGTTTGCGTGGGATATGAGAGGGTTTGGGGAGGATATGGGGGGACTTGAGGGGGTTAGTGGTAGTTTGGAGATATGGAGGGATTTGAGGGGGTTTGGGGGGATTACAGGTGGATTTGAGCGGGACACAGGGGCTTAAGGGGGGCTTTGGGGGGGTTGGGTGGATATGAGGGAGGATTTGAGGGGGTTTTGGGTGGGTTAGAGGCGTGTTTGAGAGGGGTACAGGGGGTTTGGGGAGGATATGAGAAGATTTGAGGGGACTTGGGAGGCTATAGGGGTTTGGAGGGTGTTTGGGGGCATACAGGGGGTTGGGGGAGGATATGGGAAGGTTTCAGGGGAGTTTCAGGGGATACAGCAAGATTTGTGGAGGATATTGGAAGTCTGGAGGGGGTTTGGGGGGGGATACAGGGGGGTTTGAGGAGGATATGGGGGTTTGAGGTGGATTTTAGGGAGTTTAGAGGGGATACAGGAGGGTTTGAGTGGGGATACAAGGGGAAATCCACCCACCTGCCACCAGGGGGACCTGGGTGACACCAGCGCTGTCCCCTTGTCCCCAGGGAGATGCTGGACACAGGCAGTGCCGTGTGTGAGATGCTGCAGGAGCTGAAAGGGAACCAGATCCAGAGGAGCCACTCCAACGGGGCCTCCTCGGAAACCGTGAGTGGGGAGGGGGGAGCAGGATGGGGACGATGGCAAGATGAGGGGTGAAGGAGGGGAGTGTCGGGGATGGGGGTGATGAGGATGGGGGTAATGGGGATGGGGGGGGAATGGAGGTGGCAATATGCAGTGATAGGGATGGTGGTGTCACCGTGTCATGGTGTCCCCACGTTACTGTCCCATGTCCCCGCTGTCCTATTCTCCCCCAGGACCCCGGGGCGGTGTCAGAGGACAAACCCTGTCAGTCTGAGTGTTTCTGGCCCTGCCCCTTCCGTCCCAAACCCCTGGGGAGTGCCCAGAGGGGGGCCCTGTGCCAGCGGCGCCGCTGGCACCGTGGCTTGGTGCTCGCCCAGCCCATGGCTGTGGCACCCCTGTTCCTGCTGCAGGGAGTCCTGGTAGGAGAGAGGGTGGGGAGGAGTGTGGATGGAAGGGGGGAATGGCAAAGGAGGGATGATGGATGCGGGGAGCGAGGGAGGGATTGGAAAATGGGGGAAAGGAGGGATAGATGAGGGATGAGGCATAAATGGAGGAATGGATGGAGGGATGGGAGGATGGGGAGTGGAGGGATGGATGAAGGATAGAGCATGGAGGGATGGGGAGATGGAGGGAGGAGGAGGAGGGAGGGAGGGAGGGGGAAGGGAGGGAAGCACGGTGACAGAGAGATGGATAAGGGATAGGGCATGGATGGAGGGATGGCAGGAGGGATGGAAGGATGGGGGTGAAGGGACGGGTGAGGGATGGGGTATGGGGAGATGGAGGGAGGGAGGGAAGGATGGATAAGGGATGGGACATGGATGGAGGGATGGCAGGAGGGATGGAAAGATGGGGATTGGATGGAGAGATGTGGAGAGGGAGGAGGGAGGGAAGAGGGAGGGAGGGAGAGAGGGAAGAATGGGGCAGTGGGATGAATGAGGGACAGGGCATGGATAGAGGGATGAGGAAAGGATGGAAGGATGGGGACGGCAGGAATGTAAGTGATGGGGAGATGGGCCACGATAGGACCGTAGAACACAAGACAGTAGATGCAGGACCAGAGGACAACAGGGCCAGAGGGGCCCCCAAGCCACACCCCCTATCCCACGCCCCCCATCTCCTCCTGCCGCAGGACATGGAGGACACATCCAAGGAGGACAATCCAGCTGTGGCACTGCTAGGACCCTGGGGGTCCCAGCACGCCCTGGAGCAGCCCCCGCCCTTCATCCTCTGCTCCTTCCCCCGTGAGCCCGGGGGCAACCAGGGGAGGGTGTCTGGGTCTAGCCTGGGGGTCTCAGCCCCCGTGACATCCCCGTGTCCTGCAGGTCCCAGCCGCTTCCAGCTCCGCTGTTACCTCTTCCGGGCCCTGGATCTGACCCCTGGTGTCTTCAAGACCTCCATAGGTGGGACCCCCACCCTGTTCCCCCCCTCCAGTGGCCCCCAGGGGTAGTGACTGTGTCACTGTCACCCAGACGCCACCGCCCACGTGTCAATCGTGGATCGGAGCCAACGCTCCCGGGTCACACGGGATGTCCTGGACCCACTCTGGGAACAGACACTGCTGCTCCACCCGGTGCTGCTGTTCGGGAACCCCCAAGGGGTTCAGGAGGACCCTCCAGCTGTGGTGGTGGAGGTGTTTGACCAGGCTGGGGAGGTACGGAACACACGGGGGAGAGGGATGAGAGAGGGAGGGACAAGGGAGAGTTGGAAGGATGGGGAAGATGTAAGGAATTGGGGGGGGGGGAGCAGTGTATAGAGGGAGGGAGGGAGGGATAGGGCAGAGGGATGGATAAGAGATGGTACATGGATGGAGGGATGGCAGGAGGAATGGAAGGATGCAGGAGGTCAGGGATGGAAGGATTGGGGGTAGGCTGAGCAATGTGGGGGTAGGAGGGAGAGAGAAAGAGAGGGAGGGAGGGAAGAAGGGAAGGATGGGGGCAGATGGATGGATGAGGGATGGGACGTGGATGGAAGGATAGTGGGAGGGATGGAAGGATGGAGAGATCAGTGATGGAAGGATTTGGGGATGGAGGGAGCGAGAGTGATGTGGAGAGGGAAGGGGGAGGGAGAGAAGGAAGGATGGGATCAGAGGGATGGATTGAGGGATGGGGCATGGATGGAGGGATGAGGGAGAGATGGAAGGATGGGGGGTCAGGGATGATGAGGGATGAGGGACAGAGAGGTGGGGGAAGGGAGGGAGGAGTGAGGGAGGCAGGGAGGGAGGGAGGGATGGATGAGGGGTGGGACATGGATGGAGGGATGGCAGGAGGAATGTAAGGATTGGGGGGTCACCCACAGGTGGAGGGAGCAATGGGAGGACCAGGGGGGTCAGGGACGGAAGGATGAGAGGGGCACCTGTGGGTGGGGGCAGCACCCTCACCCAATCCCTGCCTCACAGGGTGCAGGTGTTTTCTTGGGGAGGTGTGTGTGCACCCCTGAGGTTTGGCTGGATCTGGGACACTGGGAGCCCCCCCGGCTCCAGTCTCACCCCCTGTGGGGGCCGTGGGGCCCGGCCGGGGACCTGGTGGCTGCCTTCGAGCTGCTGCTTGACTCTGAGGTGAGCAGGGGGCACCAGGGGCACGGGGGCATTCAAGGGTGGGGTCCCATCATCACTGACCCCTCTCCCTGCAGGATGGGACCCTGGCGGCACACAGCCCGCCCCCGCTGAAGAAGGACGTGCTTGGCATCCCCCTGGGAATCCGGCCACGGCTCCAGAGGGTGGCACTGGAGGTGGCACATGGGGACACCGAGGGGGGAGGGATATGGGGAGGGGGGAAGGACAGGGAGGGGAATGTGGGGGAACAGGGATGGGGCCGAGGAGGAAGCAGGGAATGGGATGGGGACAAGGGTGAAGCAGGGAGAGAGATGAGCACAGGGATTGGAACAGAGATAAAGGCAGGGTGGGCACAGTCTGGGATGGGACAGGGATAATGGTGGGATTGGGATGAGGTCTGAGATGGAGACTGGGAGGGAAACAGGGACAGGGACAGTGCTGAAGGTCCTGGGGATGGGGACATGGACAGGGTTGAAAGGGATGGAGATGGGACAAGGACAAGAACAGGGATGAAGATGAGGACAAGCACAGAGGGATGAAGGCAAGGACAGCTCAGGGCCTGAATGAGAACAGGGACAAGGACAGAGACGGGGACAGTGCTGGAGGTTCTGGGGATGGGATGGGGACAAGGACAGGGATGCATACAGGGATGAAGGTGGGATGGGGACAATGTCTGAGATGGAGACTGGGAGGGGGACAGGGACAAGGGACAGTGTTGAAGGTGATGGGGATGAGATGAGGCAAGGTCAGGGTGAAGACAGGGGATGGAGACGGAACAGGGATGAGAACAGGGACAGGGACAGTGCTGAAGGTCCTGGGGGTGGGCTGGGGACAAGAACAGGAATGGGACAGGGATAAAAGTGGGATGGGGATGCAGTGTGAGATGGAGACTGGGAGATGGATGGGGACAGGGACAGACACCTTCACCCTCCCACTGGACACAAATGCCTGCCCCTTGAGGGGCCCCCAGGGCACCCAAGGGTGACATCTCCTGGGTGTCCCTGCAGGTGCTGGCCTGGGGGCTGCGGGGACTGCGTAGGGCTGTGAGGGAACCCAGGCTGGAGCTACAGTGGGAGGACCAGACCTTGTGGACCCCCGTGATCAAGGATTTCACCTCCAACCCCAATTTCCCCACTACCACCTTCCTGCTGACCCTGGTGAGTGGGGAATGGGGGGAATGGGGGGAATGGGGGGATGGCAGGGGGTGACCCCCACCCATGGGTGCTGCTGTAGCACCCTGGGGTGTCCCTGTGGTTCATCCCCAGACCCTGCCAGAGGAAGAGCAGTTGGTGCCCCCCATCCGGCTGCGGGTGTGGGACAGGGGGAACAGGGAGCTGGGGGTCCTGGTGGGACAGGGCTGCGTGAGGGGACTGGGCCAGTACCGCTGCAGGACCCCCAGCCTGGAGCAGCTCCCCCACCAGGAGCAGCTCCCTGGCCCTGGAGACACTGGGACTGGCTCCTATACGGTCGTGTCTATGCCAGGTACTGCCCATCCCTGCCCCCATCCCTGGTACCACCTCTCCTATCCCAAATACCCCTTGTCCCTTCCCACCCCAGGTACCCCCTGCCCTACCCCAGTTACCCTCTGTCCCATTTCTCTTCCCCTCTACTGCATCCCTGCCTCATCCCTGGTACCATCTCTCCCATCCTAAATACACCTTGCCCCCTCCCTGGTACCCCCTGTCCCATCCCAGCTAACCCCTGCCCCATCCCAAGTACACCCTGCCCCATCCCTGCCCCACCCTTGGTACTCCCTCTCCCACCCCTGCCCATTCCAGGTACCCCCTGCTCCATCCCTGGCTCATAACTGCACCATCCCAGGTGCCCTCTGTCCCATTCAAGATGCCCCCTGCCCAGGTTCCATCCCTGCCCCATCCCTGCCCTGTTCCTGCCCTGTTCCTGCCCCATCTCAGGTTCCTCCTGCCCCATCCCTGCCCATCCCTCTCTCCCACAGACGAGCCCCTTTCGCTGTCAGCCATTTCCAGCCTCTGGAATGGTTTGTGTTCCCACCTCCTCGTCAGAACCCAGGCCAGGATCGCCCGGGTGAGTCCCTGGGATGGCACCCCCCACCCTGGCACTGCTGGGCCCTGTGCCTCAGTTTCTCCATGTGCCCTTTGTTCCTGCAGATCCTGCTCAGCTGCCTTGGGAAGAAGGGGGGTGGTGACAAGGTGAGCACAGGAATGGGGCTACCAGGGGGCACAGGAACTGGGCTACTGGGGACCACCTGTGCCACCTGTGCCACCCACCCCACCTTCCCCTCCTCCCTTAGGACATGGAGGAGGAGGAGGAGGAGGAGGTGGACTGGTGGAGCAAATTCTACACGGCCCTGGAGGATAAGGGAGAAATCCAGTGGAGAACAAACAGGGACAGACTGAAGGTGAGGAAGAGCCTGGGATTGGGATGGGGACAGAGATGGAGATGGGACAGGGGTGGGGATGGGACAGGATGGGACAGGGATGGGGACAGGGATAGAGATGGGACAGGGATGAGTGGGGACAAGGACACAAATGGGGACAGAGAGGAAGGTGGGATAGGAATGGAGTCAGGGATAGAAACAGGATGAGGATGGGCATAGGGATGGAGATGAGGTGGGGCATGGAACAGGACAGGGATAGAAATGGGCTGAGGATGAGGACAAGGACAGGGCTGAACAAGAGGACAAGGATGGGGATGAAGATGGGAAGGGGACAGGGATGGAGATAAAGATACGATGGGGATGAAGTTGCAAGGATGTCAAGGATGGGGATGAAGCTGGGAGGGGATAAACATAGGAAGGGGATGAGGATGAAGAAAGGGAGAAAGGGCTGTCATGGGGAGAAGCACCAATATGGGACAGGGATGGGGGGGCAGGGGTAGGAACAGGGATAAATCCCAGGCTGGGCATGGTCCCACAGATCTATGGCTGTGAGCTGGAGGCTGTGCCTGAGTTCCAGGGGCTGCAGGATTTCTGCCAGACCTTCCCTCTCCACAAACCGGGTGGTCCCCCCATGCCAGGGCAGGATCCCGAGCCCGTGGGTGAGTTCAAGGTGAGACCTCCCACCTGGGACCCCTGAGCCGGGGCCATAGGACCCCCCCCAGGGGTGCATGGCTGGGGGTCTCTCTCAGGGGCTGTTCCGTATCTACCCCCTGCCTGAGGAGCCCAGGGTGCCCCCCCCACCCCAGCACTTCCAGCAGCTGCCCCCCAGCAAACCCCAGGATTGCCTGGTGCGGGTCTACATCATCCGGGCCTTTGACCTATCCCCCCGTGATGTCACTGGGCTGGTAAGGACCCCCGGGGGGGCTGGGGGGGATGCCCTGCCCTCTCCCCGCCCCGGTGCCACTCTGACTGTGCCCTCCCTGCTGCCAGAGTGACCCTTATGTCCGGGTGTCCCTGGGGAAGAGGACCCTGGGCCAGCGGGACCAGTACGTGCCCAACACACTGGAGCCCGTGTTTGGCAGGTGGGGATGGGCTGGGGGGCCTGTGGGCACTGTCATCCCTGGGTGGCACAGGGATGGGACAGGGGTACTGGAGGGGGAGGTCTCATTCTGCACGTCGGCATGTCCCTGTGCCAGTCTGTCCCTGTGCCACCAGGTCCCCATTCCCTATGCTGGTGGATCCCAATGCCACCAGATATCCCAATGCCAATGGGTCCCTGTGCCAGCAGATATCCCATTCCCATGCTGGAGGGTCCCTATGCCACCAGATGTCCCATTTCCGATACCGGTGGGTCCCCATTCCACCAGATATCCCTTTCCCATTGCCGGTGGGTCCCTGTTCCAGTGGGTATCCTATTCCCTGTGCTGGTGGATCCCAGTGCCATGAGCTCCCTTTGCCTGTGGGTCCCCACTCCCCAGGTCAGTGGGTGCCCCCACCCAATGTCTTGGGGCGGTCTGGGAGGGGTCTGGGTGGATCTGGGGGAGGTCGGTAGGTCTGGGTAAGACTGGGTGGGGTCTGATGGGGATATCTGAGAGGGGTCTGGACGGATCTGGGTGGCTCTGGAGGAGTCTGGGGGAGTCTCAAGGGGGGCTGGGGGTCTGGGTGGGTCTGGGGGAGGGATCTGGGGGCTCGGGAGAGTTGGTTGTCTAGGGGGATATGGAAGGCTCTGGGGGGATCTGAGTGGAGTCTGGGGGGTGTCAGTGGTCTGGGGAGGGTCTGGGAGCATCTGGAGTGGTCTGGGAGGGGCCTGTGTGGGTCTAGGGGGTCTGGGTGTGGTCTGGGTGGGGATCTGGGAAGGTCGGGGGGATTGGTTATCTGGGGGGATATGGGAGGGATCTGGCGAGTTCTGGAAGGATCTGGGGGGGATATTGGTGAGGTCTGAGGGGTTCTGGAGGGGTCTGAGTGGTCGGGAGAGGGTCTGGAAGGGTCTGGAGAGGTCTGGGTGCGGTCTATGAAGGTCTGTGGGGAGTCTGGGAGGGGTCTGGGTAGGGTCTAGAGGAGGTCTAGGGATGTCCGAGGGAGGGTCTGGGTGGGGATCTTGCAGGAGGTTGATGTGGGCTGGTTGTCTGGGGGGATATGAGGGGGTCTGAGGGGATCTGCATGGTGGTTTGGAGGGATCTGAGCGGCATCTGAGTGGTGTCTGGGTGAGTCTGGAGGAGTCTGGGGGAGTCTTGAGGTGGTCAGGGAGGTCTGTGGAGCATCAGGGTTGCCTTGGGGGATATGGGAGAGGTCTGCAGGGGATTCTGGAAGGATCCGGGGAGGTCTGGAAGGGGTTTCGGAGGGTCTGGGGGAGGTCTAGATGTGTCTGGGGGTGGGTCTGGGTGGGGATCTGGGGACATCGGGGGTGTTGGTTTCCTGGGAGGACATGAGGGAGTCTGAGGGGATCTGGGAAGGGTCTGGAAGGGGTCTGGGGTGCCCCCCACGCCCATGTCCTGTTGTCGATGCTGTTCCATTCCCCCCCCCCCCAGGATGTTCGAGGTGACAGCCACTATTCCCCTGGAGAAGGACCTGAAGGTGACACTGCTGGACCGTGACCGGCTCCCCCCGGACCAGGAGATCGGCAGCACCTCCATCGACCTGGAGAACCGGCTACTGTCCAACCACCGCGCCCACTGTGGGCTGCCCACCCTGTACCACACGTGGGTACCGCGGGGGGGAATGGAGATGGGGTGGGCACTTGGGAACGGGCACAGGGAGAGAGTTAGGGAGCGGGTGGAGACAGGGATCGAGTGGGCACAGGGGGATGAGGGGCAGAGAGGGGTGGGGGTCACGGGAGGTTGAGGGGGCACAGGGAACTTGGAATGAGGTGAGAAGAGGGTTGAGGGGGCACAGGGAACTTGGAATGAGGTGAGAAGAGGAATGAGGGGGCACAGAGGGATGTGGGGCACAAGCGGATGGGGAGCACAGAGGGATGGGGGCACAGAGGGGTAGGAATAGGGTGGGCATTTGGGAATGGGCACAGTGGATGGGGACAGGAGTGGGAACAGGAGACGGGGATGCGGTGGGCACAAGGAGCTTGGGATGGGGGCACAGAGGGGTGGGGGGCACAAGGAGGATTAGAGAGCACAAGCAGGATGGTGGGCACATGGGGGTAGTGCTGGGGTGGGCACAGGGATGAGAATGAGGGATGGGAATGGACACAGTGGGATGGGCACAGGGGGTATACATGGGAGAGGGCACAGGGGGGACAGCCAGTAGGGAGGTTTCGCAGCTCCCTGCCCACTCCCTGTCCCCCAGTGCAGGCCCCGCAGCCTGGAGGGACCAGTTGTGCCCGAGCAGGACCCTGGAGCTCGTTGCTCTCACCCGGGGGCTGCCCCTCCCTGAGTTCAGCCCCGACGGATCAGCTGTGACCTTCAACCACCGAACCTTCCTCCTCCGGCACTTTGGTGGGTCCAGGGCCTGGGGTGGTCCAGGAGAGGCTGGGGGGTTGGAGGGAGAACTGGGGATGTATGGAGGGGGACTGGGTGGAGACTGAGGGGGTCTGGGGGTGGGGATGGGGTCTGGGAAGGGGTTTTGGAGGGGTCTGGAGGGGTCTCAGTGGTGGGGAGGGTCTGGAGGGGTCTGAGGGGTCTGGGTGGAGTCTGAGGGGAGTCTGGGGGTGTGGCTGAGAGGGGTTGAGGGAGGTCTAGGAGGGGTTTAGGTGGAGTCTGAGGGCGATCTGGGGGTCCAGGCCCTGTCCCACTTGTGCTGGTCCCTGTGCAGAGAGTGGCCCCCCCACATTCCGCCACCCCGGCCCCCCCCGGGAGCGCCTGGCCCTGCACGTGCTCAACCTGTGCCCCTTTGTGCCCGAGCACCTGGAGACACGGCCCCTCTACAGCAGTGCCCAGCCCGGTCTTGAGCAGGTGGGCACCAGAACCACGTGCGGGGGGGACACGGAGACAGGTATGGGGACGCTGCGGTGACAGGGAACCTGGGGATGGGATTCCTCGGGTGACGAAGACCCCAGGAGCGAGCGATGGGGACCGTGGGGTGACAGAGAACCTGGGGTTGGGTGATGGGGACATTGGGCTGACAGGGACAGATGCTCTGGGGTGATAGGACCCCACAATGATGGAGAACTCCAGGTAGGGAGGGATGCTGGCGTGCAGGGATGCGATGGGCACCCAGGGTGACGGGGACCCTGGGGGTGGGTTATGGGGACTCCAGCATGACAGAGGCCCCAGGAGTGGGTGATGGGGACCCCGGGGTGACAGAGAACCTGAGGATAAGGACCCTGGGATGACAGAGACTCTGGGGGTGGGGAGCCTGGCGTGGCAGGGACCCTGGGGGTGGGTGATGGGGACCCCCAGGACCAAGGGGGGCCTGAGGTGTCCATTCCCAGTCCCCTCGTGTCCCACGCAGGGCAAGCTGCAGATGTGGGTTGACATTTTCCCTGCCAACCTCGGACCCCCTGGACCCCCTGTGAACATCGACCCCCGCAAGGCTGAGGGGTGAGTGACTCTGGGGGGTTGGGGGGCCCATCTCTGGGCAGGAGGGGACGCCGCTCTGTCCCCCTCCAGGTACGAGCTGCGCTGTGTGGTGTGGAATGTGCGGGATACAGACTTGGGGGACATCAACCTGCTGGGGCAGCGCATGAGCGACATCTATGTGACTGGGTGAGCCCAGGGCACACCTGTGTGCCCCCTATCACTGTGGGGTCCCTGTCACCCCCCAGGCATATGTCCTTGTCACCCAGACTCTGTCACCCCAGGGTTCCCATCACCCCATGCCCAGGTTCTACATCACTCCAAGGTCCCCATCCCCAGGTTCCCCGTTACCCCAGTCTCTCTCTCACACCAAGGTGCCCTTTCTCAGATTCTCTGTCATCCCAGTGTCCCCACCCCCAGTCTCTGTCCCCTGTGCCCCCTGGCAGTGCCCTGTGTCCCTGCAGGTGGCTGGATGGTCTCCCTGAGCAGCGGCAGCACACGGACATCCACTACCGCTCCCGGGATGGACACGGTGCCTTCAACTGGCGCTTCCTGTTCCCCTTCGAGTTCCTGGCGGCCGAGAAACTCTGCGCCATTGGACGCAGGGTGGGGGGGACACTGCAGGGGGCTCAGAGAACAGAGAGACTGGGGGGGGGGAAGGGGGACATGGGATGGCAGAGACCAAAGGAGTGGGTGATGGAGACCTGGGGTAAAAGGGACTCTGGGGATGGGGACCCTGGGGTGACAGAGAACCCGGAGGTGGGAACCGTGGCGGGATAGAGGCCCTGGGAATAGGCGATGGGGACCCTGAGGTGACATAGGAGACTCCCGAGTGTGACAAGCATGACCCCCCCTTTCCCCCTTCCCAGGAGCACATCTGGAGCCTGGACAAGACAGTGCTGAAGGTGCCACCCAAACTCATCCTCCAAGTGTGGGACAATGACAAGTTTAAAGCAGATGATCTTCTGGGTGAGACCTCATTTCCCTGTCCCTAGACCTACAGAGGGTTGAGGGGCACCCATTGGTGACAGGGAGCACCCGCTGATGTTGAGAATCATCCGCTGGGGATGGGGAGCACCCACTGGAGATGGGGAGCACCCACAAGTGACGGGGAGCACCCACTGGTGACGGGGAGCACCCGCTGGGGATGTAAAGCACACCTGGTGACAGGAAACACCCACTGGTGATGGGGAACAGCCACTGGTGATGAAAAGTATCCCCTGGGGGTGGGGAGCACCTACTGGTGATGAGAAGCACCCGCTGGTGATGGGAACTCTTCCTCCTTGCCTTTCCCCACAGGCATCCTGGAGCTGGACCTGACCAAGCTGCCCCACCCGGCCTTGACCCCCAGGCTGTGCAAGGCCATGCCATGGGAGCCCCCTAGCATCCCCTGGCCCTGGTGCAGGACCCCTGCCCTGGCCCCCTCCCCAATCAACTTATTTCGAATACGGCGGGTGCGGGGCTGGTGGCCCTGCACAGTGCAGGAGGATGGTGCCCAACGGATCTCTGTAGGTTGGGAATGTCGGGATAATGAGGGCAACCATGATGGGGGAGGGCAGGGGCATGCCCTGCACCCCAACTGCCCCCACAATCCCTCCAGGGGAAGCTGGAGCTGAGCTTGGAGCTGCTGACAGCCGAGGAGGCTGAGGAGCGGCCAGTGGGGAAAGGGCGGGAGGAACCAAATAAATACCCAGTGCTGCCGGCACCCAGGTGAGTTCTGGGAAGGAGGATGGCGATGTGGGGAGGGGGATCGGGGGTGTCTGAGCTCCCTGTGATCCTCAGGCGCTCCAAGTCCTCGTTCCTGTGGCTGAAATCCCCACTCCGCCTCCTGCGCTATGGGATCCGCTGGCGCTACTGCGGCTGGGCTGGGCTGGCGCTGATGGCAGTCCTGCTCCTCTTCCTCATGCACATCCTTTTCCCGGTGAGCATTCCCCCCCGCCAAATTCTACCTCTCCTGGCTGGGGACACCCCCTCGAGCTCCCTTCTCTCCCTCCTCGCAGAGTTCTCTGACCGTTAAGATGGTTGACCCACTCCGTGTCCTACATCCTGCTGGCACAGAGCATCCTAAAATGGAGCATCTCCCTGACAGAGGGGCAATGCCAGCCTGAGGATCCCAGGAGCCCCTCAACTCCCTCCTTCCCTGGCTGCCAACCCCTCTCTGAGCTCTTCTCTCTCTCCCCATTGGATTATCCCACCAGGGAGTGAATTGTCCGGCTCCAGAGGCTGCATCCTGATGAGTATCCCACGAACTAACAAAGTCACGTCCAGCAACCATCAAAGCGTCATCTCCAACTCTGTGGGCTGGGGGCGAAGGACATGAACGTGGCTCATGGAGCAGATCCTCATGGAAGCAACATTAGGGGACTGTTACGATCATCTTCTTAAAATTATTAGGGAGGCCTCTGCCCAAATTAAGGTGCAAACGAGACAATGTTGCGAAGTCAACAGGACGGATTTTTATTTAACAGTTAGTGTGGGGCAGAGAGAGAGAGAGAGAGAGAAAGAAATAGGGAAAAGAGAGATAAGTGGAAACAGAGAGACAGATTAAGTAGAAAAATATCACCGCTCCATAAATTCCAATGGTATCCTGTTCATCCTCTTCTTGTGGTATTTTCGGTGGTAAGAGTTCCAGTCTTGTGGAAGTGATGGTTGGAGCCCTTGGTCCATTGAGGGAAGCCCATGGTGGAGAGGGGAGAAGCCTGGGGTGGTAAAGGAAGAAGCCTGAATGGTGAGGGAGGTCTGAGTCTGGTGAGAGAAGGAGCAAAGCTCATGCAGTGCGGAAAGAAGCCCATATGGTGAAGGAAGAAGTCCAAGTGTGGTAAGGGAAGAAGCCCCTGTGGTGAGGAGACAAATATATGCAGGGAGAGAGCGTGGAATCATCCTGAAATCCTAGAGTGGGTTGGTTTGGAAGGACCTTAAGGATCATCTCGTTCCAGCCCCTGCCATGAGCAGGGACCCCTCACTGGCCCGGGTTGCTCCAAACCCCATCCAGCCTTACCTTGGGCATGTCCAGGGATGGGGCAGTGACAGCAACTAATTTTTAACTAATAATTTATTCTTTAACTATTTAACCAATTATTTTTAAGTCAATTAACTTATTAACCAATTAATTTTTAAACTAATTAAGGTTATTTTTAGTCTTTTTTTCAGGGTTATTTTTAGGGTTAGGCTTATTTTTATTTGGGTTAGGGTTAGTGTTATTTTTAAGCTTTTTATCAGAATTATTTTTATGTTTATGGTAAGGTTTATTTTTATTTGGGTGAGGGTTAGGGGCATTTTTAGGCTTATTTTTAGGGTTATTTTTAGATTGGGGTTACGGTTAGGGTTAGGATTTAGGGCTAGGGCTAGGGTTAGGGTTCGGGTTCAGGGTTAGGGTTAGGGTTAGTTTTAGGCTATTTTTCAGGGTTATTTTTAGGGTTAGGGTTATTTTTATTTGGTTTTGGGATAGGGTTAGGGTTTGGGTTAGGGTTGGGGTTACGGCTAGGGGTTTGAGTTGCTTTCACAGAGAGATTTTCAAGTGAGAGAAGGGGTTTGGGAATTATAATAATGGCCAGTCTTCGCGAGCGAAGATCCGGGGAAGGTCTTTACACCTTCCAGCCTGCGCATTGGATTTTTTAGGTGAGACACAGTGTGCGCGGAACTGAGCCCACCCTTTAATCCTAAGGTTCATCTACCGGGGCCAAGCGAGCTTGGACGGTGGCAGCGAGGTCCTCAGGATGTAGATGGATTGCCTTTTTAAGGGCTAACGAGCTCCATCAGCCCGGGAGTGTCCCTGACCTGGAATCGAACCCGGGCCTCGGCGGTGACAGCGCCGTGCCCTTACCACTAGACCACCGGGGGAATTAGAGATTCAGCAAGCCAACCCTGAGAATGCTTGGGATTGTTGGCGCTTGCCACTAAAGGTTGACTATTGAAACTCTCAGACGTCTGAGTTTAGGTGCCAAGAAAAGAAGCTTCCCGTGTGGATCTAAGTTGCTGTGGGGTACTTTCTTGGTTTTTGGTAGATGATGTAGCCACGTGTCATCTATGAGAGTGTTCTCAAAACATTTCACTTAATTGGAAGATCTATAAAATTGGTGTGGTTTTCAGGCTGCACGTGTGTCTGTAAATGTACGTGCACGCAACCGAAACATAAATGCGCTCACGTGGACATTCGCGTTGAACATAATAACGATGCAGCAGCTTCTTCGGTTAGAGAATCCTAGATGAGGTGGACTTCTTCTGTGGGTGCAGCTGAATAGTTCCAAAGGCCTGTGGGAGGGTGTAGTTGCGATGTCAAAAGGTAGCCTTCACAAATATAAATATTAACTGCTGTTTGTCACTACTTCCTTTTACTTCAACATGTATTTATTTAAAAATCCCTGCACTGTGCTACTTTTGGTGTCAGGATTCCAGGGGACATTACTTAGGCACCAGAGTGCCAAAAGACGTGGTCATATTGCCATTTGATCGCCGGCCTAAACTGAGGAATTTGTCTGGGTTTGGCAAGGTAAGTTGCCATCACATTTTACGTAAATAGTACGGTCTAAGTTCGGGCCGTTGCATCGTCCTTCGGGTCCCCCTCAGTGGGTCACACGAATCAGTTTTGTTCAGCTCATACGTGCTTTAGGGGACAACGCCTACCAGCTGTCCTGTGTTCGTGAGGAATTTAGCCCCTGACTCAGGAAATACTGGATCTCTTGGCCACGAGGAAGTAAGAGTCATCCTCCTCGTCACCTGTGTGTGCTGTGACCGATAAACGACGACAAAAATCCCCAGACAAACAGAACCAATAAGCACAAATTTGCTTCTTGAAGACAGACCTGACAGCGATCCATTTCCTGTTCAGGGACTTTGGGGGTTTTTGGACTTTGAAGGGATTAAGGCCAACAATACAAGCCATCATTTCCTTTGTGAACCATTAATACCGGTCATAAAATGCACAGAACAAGTTTTAAGCCGGTTTTGCTTCGTGATACTGGGTTCCTGGAGTTGTTTATTTTCGTAAGCTGGTTCCTTTACTAAATAATCTGTGCACTTGCCTGTGAAAAAAAGAAGTTCTCTTACAGTTCCTCCTCAGAACCCTGTATTTTTGTGATCTTTTATTTAGCGGAAATGAATGAGGTTGTTGGAATGGAACAGTGTGAGATCTTGCCGAGGTGTAGTCTCTAAATTCTAAACCAGTCACGTGTATCTAGTTTCTGCCTCATTTAATCAGACTCTTGGAAGTTATAGTAGGCATCACCAAAAGGTTATCCTGGCTATTTCAGGTCCCTGGAGAAATAAAGGTGGTGAGTGGGATCTGGTCTGATCTGAGCTCTGGTTTAAGGGGCTTTATCAGAAATTCTGATTCCTTAAAACGTAAGCACTGTGTGAGAGTCCGGCTGTTGAGGATAGAGATGGACTCAGCAGATGTGGTTTTGGTGCTCTCCTGCCTACAAACCATTGTTCTAATTTTGCTCTAATTCTTATTTAGTCTGCACAGTGAAAGTATATACTGGGCTGGGGAGTAAAAATGAAGATAATTAATCATCATTTTTTCACCCATTTCTTTGGTGTGATTGGTGGGGGAGGCTGCTTAATGTTCTTGAATGGCAGGAATAAATTCTCTCAGTCAGTTTGCAGTGGGAGTAAAGAACAGCCTCTTAACTTTTGGTCCATATGCGTGTTAATTCACTAGACAACAAAAGATGGCTCTTAAAAATATTGCTCTACTCTGCAGTGATTTTTCGAGGTATTTTCAGTCCAGCTGCTTTAGCCCAGGCTGCAGTTTTACGGCCTCTTGTCCATCAAGCCAACAGCTCCCTGTCACCTGTGCCCTTTTTCTTCTCCACTTTGGGAGAAGAGGGGAAATACAGTTCATTAAGGAGATAGAAGGCACTTCAATCTTTTTGAAGTTTAAATTCAACCCTTCTTTAATTCAATCTTCTGGAGTCCGTGAGGAGGGAGGAGGGTGCAAGGAGCAGCACAGGATGAGAGCCCATGGAGGCTGCAGCAGAGGAGGGTGTGCAGGAGCCAAAGGGCAGCTGAGGCCATTCCCCAGGGAATGGCAGATCCTGACGTCTCTGCCCACTTAGGGAAAAGTGCCAACATTGCACAAGTGTTCCATGCCAAAGCATAGTCCTCTCCAAAAAGCAGAAAGTAGGGAAAAGATGAAGGGAGCAATGGGAAGAAAAGGTGCTGATTTGCCAGGTGTGTTTTGAAATGCCTTTTGTCCAGGCTGGGAATTTGCTAGGTGTCGAGCAGCGATTGGTCTGGTTTTTCCCCCCAAAGTGTCCATTCCCTCCCCAAAAGATGTCCTTTTGGCCTGCAGAGGTGCATTACCAAGAGTAACCACAAGACGGCGACACTGAGCAAAAAGAGACCAGGTCTACCCATCAAAAGAAGGAGACCAGGTCTATCCTTTAAAAAAGGAGACCAGGTCTACCCATTGAAAAAAGGAGACCAGGTCTACCCATCAAAAAAAGGAGACCAGGTCTACCCGTCAAAAAAAGGAGACCAGGTCTACCCGTCAAAAAAAGGAGACCAGGTCTTCCTGTTTAAAAAAGGAGAACAGGTCTTCTGGTAAAAAAAGGAGAACAGGTCTACCCGTTTAAAAAAGGAGAACAGGTCTACCCGTAGGAAAAGGAGAACAGGTCTACCCGTAGAAAAAGGAGAACAGGTCTACCCATAGAAAAAGGAGAACAGGTCTACCCATCAAAAAAAACAGAACAGGTCTACCCGTTTAAAAAAAGAGAACAGGTCTACCCGTCAAAAGGAGAACAGGTCTACCTGTCAGGGTTGAATTAGCAATGGGAACGACTCCAGTGTGAGCATTATGGGAACTGGGGAGGCACTTGGAGCACTCGGAGTGACACTGGGAGGAGAATAGGAAGGGACTGGGGGTACAGGGGAAACTGGGAGGGAAGTGGGAGGGGACTGGAGGCACTGGTGGCACTTGGGGGGGACTGGGATGGGATGGAGGGCACTTGGGTGGCATTGGGATGGGGACTGGGAAGGGACTGGGATGAACAGGGATGTGATTGGGATTGGGTTCTTCTTCTAAGGACAGAAAGGCATTCAGCCCTTTGCTCAGTTCCTCACTGACCACACAATACCAATAAACTTCACTTAATTTTGGGATGTATCCAAAATGCTCTATGCAGAAGAGAACTTGCAATTCCCTCCAAGCCTTGTCTTTGTCCCTATGACAAATTAATTTTTTTCCTTTTTTCCCTCCTTTTTTCTTTCCTTTTTTCCTTCCTTTTTCCCCTTTTTTCCTTTTTTCCCCATTTTTTCCCCTTTTCTCTTTTTTCTCCCTTTTTTCTTCTTTTTTTTTCCTTTTTTCTTCTTTATTTTTTTTTGAAATCCATTCCGTACTCTGGAAAAATCCAGTCCGGGTTCTCCCTTTTTTCTTCTTTTTTTTTCCTTTTTTCTTCTTTATTTTTTTTTGAAATCCATTCCGTACTCTGGAAAAATCCAGTCTGGGTTTTCCTCCATTCCGTACTCTGGAAAAATCCAGCTTGGGTTTTCCCCCATTCCGAACTCCAGCAGAAATCCAGTCCGGGTTTTCCCTCCACCCCCCGGTCCCGCCCCCCTTCCCCCGCCATTCTCCCTCAGCTTGCTCCCGGTGCTCTTGGAGGACGCCGCGGGACCGGCTGTACCCGGAGCTGTGCGGGGTCCGGCGGGAGGGGCTGGGGGGCTGCGGTGCCGCCTCGGGGCTCGGCTCGGCTCCCGGGACTGGCAACGAGGACAGAGATGAGGGAACGGGGCTCCAACTAATAATGATTTGATGGGTGTATGAATCATTCCCGGCCGTTTACAGTTCCCGCACCGCCCCCGGCTCGAGCCGCCTCTGCCTGCGCCCCCGGCTCGCGCCGGTCCCGCTTCCGGCTCACGCCAGCCGCGGCTGGCGGCCTTTAAGTCACGTGCCTGCCTGAGAGGCCAACCGCTATTCTGTCCCCCCCTGTGAGGGACAGCCCCACGGGTGGGCAGCGAGGATGACGAGGGGCGGGACAGCCCCACGGGTGGGCAGCGAGGATGACGAGGGGCGGGACAGCCCCACGAGGGGGCAAGGAGAATGACGAGGGGCGGGACAGCCCCAGGGGTGGGCAGGGAGGATGACGAGGGGCGGGACAGCCCCACGGGTGGGCGGGGACGATGAAGAGGGGCAGAACAGCCTCAGGTGTGGCCAGGGAGGATGATGAGGGGCGGGACAGCCCCACGGGTGGGCAGAGAGGAGGACAAGGGGCGAGACAGACTCAGCTGTGGCCCACGAAGATGACGAGGGGCAAGACAGCCTCAGGTGTGGCCAGTGAGGATGACGAGGGGCGGGACAGCCCTACGAGGGGGAAGCGAGGGTGACAGGGGCGGGACAGCCTCAGGTGTGGCCAGTGAGCATGATGAGGGGTGGGCCCTGCTGGGTGGTGGTCTGGAGCATGTTTTGGTGGACATTTTCTGCAGAGGAGCAGTCCTTTCTGTGGAGTCTCTCCAGCAGTGATTGTGAGGGCATCTCGCCGGGGCAAGCACCTGAGGTACCTGGATCGTTGCTCAAGGAAGGGGCCGAGGGATGTGCTGGGGAGCAGCGCACGTGAACAGGTAAGGGACTGGGGGGATGCAGGGAAGATACAGTTCAGACTGGAGGAAGAGCTTGGAGGTTTCTTTTATGGATATGAACATGCAAAGCAGGGAGCGAGGTGGGTTATAAGCACTCTAGGTGCTCGGGCAGGTGAGCCAGGACTTAGGGGAGGGACTAGCTTTCCTGAGCACCAAAAGTTCCAGTGGAGCAGTCGAGAGGAGTTTCTCCTTTGGGGCTGGGCTACAAAGGCAGGCAGCTGAAACTGCTGGGGGAAGCTTACTGCTGTAAGCAGACTGTAGTTTCCACTGAGAGTTTTGCTACTAAAACTAGGGAGTTTTGTTTTCTCTGTGCACAAGACCTGCTGGTATTTGTT